ATATTCGAATTTTCAATTTTTTTTATTTCGATTTCTCGTTTTTTCAATTTTTCCCTTTTTCGATGTCACGATTTATTGGTTTATCGATTTTTAGATTTTCGAATTTGCAGTTTTTCGAAATTTTGATTTATCAAATTTTGAATTTTGCAATGTTCGAATTTTAATTTGTGTCCTTTTCGATTTCTGGATTTTGTAATTTTTCAATTTTCCCATTCTTCAGTTTTTACACTTTTTATTTTTTTTAATTTTTGTTGTTTCGATATTCGAATTTTCAGTTTTTTAATTTTTCGATTTTTCAAACGTTTTTTGATTTCTCAAGTTTTCGGTTTTCGATGCTCGAATTTTCAATCTTTCTACTTTTCGATTTTTCGATTCTGTTTCATGGAATTTTCGATTTTTCAAATATGTATTTAATTTTCGTAATTTCTCGTTTTTCAACTTCTCGATTTTTCGCTTTTGAAATTTTTGATTGTTCGACTTTCGATATTTAGTTTTTTCTATTTGATTCTTAGATTTTTCGATTTTTTGGAATTCCACTTTCGATTTTTGGATTTATCGAATTTTCGATTTTTCAAAGATTCGCTTCATTGAATTTTGGATTTTTCAATATTCGAATTTTAAATTGTTTCCTTTTCGAGTCATAGATTTTTCAATTTTTCAATTCTTCAATTCTTCGATTTTTGAATTTTTGATTTATGAATTTCCGATTTTTCTCTTTTTCCATTCTTCAGGTTTTACTCTTTAATTTTTTCTACTTTTTGATGTTTCGCTATTGGAATTCTCAGTTTTTTACTTTTCGATTTTCAACTTTTCATTTTTCTTATTTCTCGATTTTTTGATTTCTCAAGTTTTCAGTTACACTGGAATTTTTAGTCTTTTCGAGTTTCCTATTTTCTGATTCTTCGAATTTTCGGTTTTTCAATTATTTTTATATTCTTCAGATTTAGGACTTTAAAATGTTTTTACTTCTCGATTTCCCGAATTTTTAAGTTCAATTTTTCGATTTTCCAATTTTATTACTTTCCCTTTTTCATCTCTCGACCTCCCATTTTTCGAATTTTCATTTTGTCAATTTTCGATTTTTCCAGTATTTGATTCAAATCATCAAATTTATGATTCTTCGACTTTCGAATTTTCGTTATTTCGTGTTTTTTGAATTTTCAAATTTTCATGTTCTGAAATTTGGAATTTTCGATTTTCCGTTATTCTATTCCGAAGATTCTAGATTTTTTGACTTTTTATTTTGATTTCCGGTTTTTAGAATTTCGAATTTTCGGTTTTCCAATTTTTGGATTTTTATTTTTCGAATATTTGATTCATCGAATTTTCGTTTTTCGTTTTCAATGTTTCCATTCTTCAGTTTTTCGATTTTTCAATTTTTAACTTTTCGATTTTTTGATTTTTTGAGTTTTCGATTTTTCGATGTCTGATTTTTTAAATTTTCAACCTTTCTATTTATCGATTTTTTGACTTTCCGCAAGATTTTTCAATTTCATTCGATTTTCGACTTTTAATTATTTGATTTTTGAATTTTCGGTTTTTCCATTTTTTGACGTTCGATTTTTCGCAGTTATTACTTACGCCACTGGATTTTACTTTATAAAGGTTATCATTATCACAAAACAAAAATCGCAAAATCAAATTTTATAATTTTTCAAAAGAGCGGGATTTATTGGCCTGCACTTCAAGGACCTCTCCCGCCCTGTCGAAATAACCTTTTACCAATTTTTTATAAATGCAAAATCTAAACAAACTTTTATATAAAGTTGTGATGATAGGATGCAATTGCAAGAAAATTGGTATGATACAGATGTAACATTCTCGATGACTTGCTAAAAACACTCTCTACTAAAAGAATGTTTTGGCATTCATTAGTCAGACAAAGAGTTTTCAAATTTATCTCTCTAACGTTCCCTCTTTTATTAAAGCACACGACGCTTTTATACATCTAAAAGTGAAAGGAATATGACGAACAGGGAATGGTCTATAAAGTTATAAATTAAGAAACCTGTATTCAAACTCTCACTATATCGTATAGAAAATTGCCTTCTTCGTAATCGTGCTATTTTAGCAGTTCTCTTATCAGAAGAACATACCGCTTAAATTTTACAATTTGTAGCACAAAACTTGAATAAGCTACTAACACGGAAATGAACATTTTAAAAACAGTACTAGAATAGCAAATTTTATGTTTTTTCGACGATTCATAGCCCCTAAAGTGGAAAAAATAGGTCTCCCATTTCCGTCTTTCATCTGTCAGATAATCTGGTTGTAAAATTTTTAGTGCGTTTTAGGAATTACATTCACTGTTTCGGCCACTTTGATATAACAAAGTTTAAGGTATTGTTATTATTATTATATATATTTATCGAAAATTGAATCGGGAAATCAAAACCACATAAAACCGAAATATCGAAAATCCCAAAACTGAAAAATCCTAAAACCGAACCATCGACAACTTGACGAATCGAAAAACAGAAATTCAGAAATCAGAAAGTCAAAAAATGAAAAAGTCGAAAAATCGGTAAATCGAAAAGTCGAAAAATCAAAGAATTGATTTATAAAGAAATTGAGAAACGGAAAAATCGAAAATTTCGAAACACCAGAAATTTAAAAAGGGTCATCGAAACGGAATAAGGGCGGATGGGTGGGGCTACAGTCTTATAAACAAGCAATAGCCCCGCCCGCCCGCCCACCTCTTGATTCTATTGACTGATCTTAATACTATTAATTAATGCAAAAATTATTATTTTATTAGAATCTTGGGAAAATATGTTATACCGTTGGCAAAAAAAATGATATTAAATCAAAATATCAAATGTGAGAATTTTACTTTAAAAAGCAATATTCCTGATGCTCCTGCCACTCACTCAAGCTCCACGTTAAAATATCGTTTCATTGGCGCGGAGACAAGGATGGTGCTAATTTATATTACATTGTCTCTATATTATATAATTTTTTTTGTTTGTATGTAAACGTTGGTGGCAAGGTCGTTTTTCGAATAAATGTCAAAATTTTATTTAAAAAAAATAGTTCTATATAGATTTTATTATTTGTCAATTTATATCCAACTTCCATCTCAGAACCAATAAAAAGGGTCATCAAAACGGAATAAGGGTGGGTGGGTGGGGCTACAATCTTATAAGCAAGCAGTTACTTTTATACTTTCTCCAAGTTTCATAACTTCTAGAGAATGAAGAAATAGGTCTGACGTTGATACTTTTCTAATCTGAAATAGTGCAATGTGTGAAATAAACTGTTTACATAATCCATATATCAGGAAATTCCCTTATTCAGGCTTCACTCCTTTGTTTTATTGCGTTTTGTCAAAGTTTCTGGATGTCTTAAGCATTACATTTTAGCACACTTCTTAACTTCTCACTCGATACTGATGGCTGATTCATTTATGGCATCTAAACTGCCTTCAAATTTGGTTTTGATAGAAAAGACCTTGAAAATTTTCTCGTAGTTTTAATAATTTTTTTGCGACTTGAATTTGAACATTTATTCTCGATGGCACCGCTCTAGGGCGCAGCGTTTCCGAGACCAGTTTATTGTGATTTTGATTGTATTGAATATGTGGTTTTTTTGTATGCGATGTGGAGTTTCGGTTCAGAGGAAATCTGTGAATGCATTTTGATTTAATCATAATCAGTAACACGAATTCACACATAATTTAATCCCATGTAAATCCTTTTTTTTGAAATTTTTGATAAAGTGTGACTTAATTTAACATCTTGTAAATCCTTTGCTGGTAATTTAAGTAAAAGATTTTAATACTCATTCAGTCATCGTTTTAAGATGCAAGGAAATTTTTCAAGACGTTGAATAAATATATTCTGATCTATTTCCATAATACCTTATAATAGTTTTATATTTGTTTTTCCAAAAACCTGCATGCAATTTAGCATTTTTGCAGAATATGGTTTAATAAAGAAGTCAAAGAACTGCGGACAGACAATAACAAGGGCACGAAGCAGAAAACCTGCATTTTCGTATTCTACAAGCAGTGTAATGGCAAAAAAAACTTGTAATTCAACGTTTGAAAAAATAACAAATTAATATTTACTCTACATATCTATCCTTCGGGAGTCAATGACAAACAAATTTCCATTGAAAAAGAAAGGCTAGAACTTAGAATGTGTTAATTTTTTGCACATTTTGCAACACTGTTATTTCTCAAAAATCTCTATATGCACAAAAAATTCTTATACTGTAACTATCTACACATCCAATATTTGCGTGTGTCAACTTTAATTCACTGCTAATTTTTTAATTTATTTTTAGTCATCTGTTGGTATCCACAAGCATTTATAATAAGTATCAATAAATAAAAAAAATTAGATTTTAATTTAAATTCGCGTTTTCGAGGACTACTTTTCGATATTTATGACCTTCAAGGCTTCGTTTCATTAAGACATTTATGTAGTTCAAGTGTGACGCGTTTCTTATTTAAATGATTCAGTGCAAAACATGAAGACAAATTTGAAGCTTTATTTAATTAATTGACGGTTAAATAGAAAGAATCATAATATGTACCTACCGCAAATATCATCCGTATTTTTCAAACATTTATTAATCATAAATCCATTAAATATAATAATAATTACTACAACAGTTTTTAATTCCTCTTACTATGGTAACATTTCTCTAAATTGTGTAGCATATTCGTTTTATTATTCTAAAATTAACGATATTATTTGCTTCTGCGTTCGTGTTAAAACATCATTAAAAATTACACAGTTTTCTAGAACTTAAAGCCGTTTAATTTAGTGCGACCTGAGTTGCCGACACTTTGATCAATTATTTAAAAATGCGAGGACGCACTTTGTAATTAATAACAGTAAAATGTTCTCCTCTTTTAATGGGCTCCCTTAAATTAAAACAAAGCCAATTTTATTTAAAAAATCCTTATTAATCAGTGGGTAATAAAATTCTACTGTTAAAAATTATATAAGGAGTGTAGTTCGACTGATCCGGTCATTGACGATTCAATCAACGTTTTACCTAGACGCTTTGACAACCATTACGTGGTAAATAAAATTGTAAACTAAAAGAAATAATGTTGATATGTGTTGTTTTTAGGTAAAATATGGCACATTATTGCGAAGATTATTTTCAGCTTGTTTTAACGTTCTACCACTTCACCGGCCTTAAAAAATCCAGCAACTCACTTTCTCGAGTTATTTCGTTATATATTTTGTATCCACTATTACTTACGGTGTTTGTGATGGCAATCATTAATTTTCGGTACAATTACCACAGCGTAAGTGGAATTGTTGAAGTTTTCATGTCAGCTACAAGTTTTGGATATGTAAGAAGAAAAAGTGCCTCGAATACCAGTGTCACTAATTTTTCATTTTAGATGGTCCTATTTAAAACATTGCTCATAATATTTAAACCCATATTTGAAGATCTCATCAGCCAACGCACTTCGTTTTGGAAATATCATTTACTAGGTACACTCACTGAGAAAAAATGCCATAAAAGAATGTCGCTTTCTCTATCCATCATAAAATTTTTATTAGTTTCTGAAATCTTTTCAATAAGTGTACATTCAGCTGCCCCTCTTTTTATGGAAAAACTGGATCTGCCGCATCCCTGTTGGATTCCAGGGAATAATAATAAAATAAGAATCGTCGTTTATGTCCTGCAAGTCACGTTCTACGTGGAAGTCGTTTTTTTGCTAATTGTGGTTATTGGTTTCTTTTTGATGATGTGTACTGAGCTTAAGATACAGTTTGAATTGTTGTGTCGGATGGTGTCTTCGATCAATATCGAAGAAACAGGAGAGAAATTGTGCTGGCAACAACTTAAACACTGTTATAAGTATCACTACTTTTTGTTGCGGTAAGATTTGTACTTTTGTGTTGCCTTTTAGTTGATTTTGTTTCCAGGATGCACGACAAGTTAAATACTATTTTTTCTGGATATTTCGTTTGTGCGTATTTTTTGACAATAGGAGGAACTTGTCTGCCTCTCTTCGTCATGTTTGATCCGTAAGGGATGTGTTTGGGGTTGACTGAACAATATTTTTTCTAATTTTTAGAAGTTCAAGCTTTGGTCAAATTGCCGAGGGGGTATTTTTCATCACAATAACAAACGCTATGTTTACTTTGGTAATTATTCCAATAGATGAAGTAGAAATTGTTGTAAGACAAATATGACTTATTTGTATTGAGTAAGTATGTTTTAATTGTTGTTTTAGAGTGCACGTTTAGCTGATGAAATTTATTCTGTTGATTGGTACAATGCAAATTTAAAAATATTAAAATTTGTTCTTTTCTGGATGGCTCAAGCACAAATTCCTGTACAAATGTCAGGAGCTGGGGTTTTTCAAGTAAACCGAACTTTATTGCTACGGGTAAGTTTTTGAAGCTTATTGGAATTTTTTACTAGTTCTGAGTTGAGATTAAATATTTTGTAACGACGTCATTGGCTTTTAGTGGGGACAAATATAACAGTTTTAATACATACAGTAGAACGCTGGTAGAAATTCCAGAAGCATAATTTTTTTCCAGACATTCTGTATAAAGAATTCAAATTAAACTGCAAAATGTTTCATAATTTTTATTTTTTTTCAAAAATCTGGACGTTTCGGTTAAAAATTCAATTTGGAGTCATAAACTACATGTGTAAGATTATGTTATTTGACACAACCCATTTACTATGTACAATTTTGAAGTGACGTCATCGCATTAGTGGTGGGGATGATTAGACAAATTTTGGTTAGCGTTTTACCATCTACATGATATTCTTAATATAAGTACAAAATTTCACAACAATCGGTCGAGTACTTTCGGAGATTATCTGTCTAATAAAAATCCGGAACAACAGACGGACAGACGGACAGACGGACGGACAGACGGACAGACGGACAGACGGACAGACGGACAGACGGAGGGACAGACGGACGGACAGACGGACGGACAGACGGACAGACAGACGGAAATGGGAGACCTATTTCTTCGTCTTCTAGGGGTCATGAAAGATCGAGAAAACGTAAAAGTAGAGAGTCGGCCGACGGACTCGATTACAATACTTCCTTTGCTTACGCTCGGGAAGTAAAAACTCATATTCAATGCGATTTAAATCAAAATCAGATGATCTAGGAAACGAGTACTTTGAGAACGCGGTGTCGGAAAACGCTCGAGATACTTCTGGAATAAATGTTCAAATTCAAGCCGCAAGAACTTCAAGATCTTCTGTCTCAAAATGGACCAACGTTTAAGATCAGCAAAACTTCAGAAAAAAATTGGTCTAAAGAGTTTAGACAGTACTTCCCTCGCTGTCGGAAACGTGACGACTGCATGCCTATTATGTTTTTTTTTTCGCAGCAGATTTCAAAGCAATCGGTTTTGTAGTTCCTGATTAAATCAATAAAATAAATTTGCGCATTCATTAATTTTTTGGGTCACCCTGTATATGCAAATCAAAAAAATTTGAATGGAATGATAAATCACAAGAAGAGACTCACCATATTTTGTACATTTTAGATAGGATTTATTCAGCAAAATTTTGTGGTGACATCATAAATTTTTTAGGGCGGACGACCAAATACGTTTTGATCAAAAATTTACCATGCTTATGATAATTTTAAAATATCTTCAAGATTTCGAAGCATTCGGTTTTGTAGTTCCTGAGTAAATCAGTAAAATAAATTTACGCTTTCATTTATTTTCTTGAATCACCCTGTATATGGAAATCCAAAAAATATTAATGGAGTGATAGATCACAAGTACAGACTGATCATATTTTGTACATTTTAGATATGATTTATTCGGCAAATTTTCGAGCTGACGTCATCAAGTTTTTGGAGGGGATAAGCAAATATATTTTGACTAAACATTTATTATGCTCTTTATAACCTTAAAGCATCTCAAGATGTCAGAGCATTCCGTTTTGTAGTTCCTGATTAAATCAATAAAATATATTTACGCATTCATTAATTTTTTTGAGTCACTCTGTATATGCAAATCCAAAAAATATGAATGGAGTGATAAATGACAAGTACAGGCTCATCATATTTTGTACATTTTAGATATGATTTATTCGGCAAACTTTCGAGCTGACGTCATCAAGTTTTTGGAGGGGATAAGCAAATATATTTTGACTAAACATTTATTATGCTCTTTATGACCTTAAAACATCTGCAAGATTTCAGAGCATTCGGTTTTGTAGTTCCTGATTAAATCAATAAAATATATTTACGCATTCATTAATTTTTTTGAGTCACCCTGTATATGCAAATCCAAAAAATATGAATGGAGTGATAGATCACAAGTACAGACTCATCATATTTTGTACATTTTAGATATGATTTATTCCACAAACTTTTGAGCTGACGTCATCAAGTTTTTGGAGGGGATAAGCAAATATTTTTTGACTAAAGATTTATGATGCTCTTTATAGCCTTCAAACATCTGCAAGATTTCAGAGCATTCGGTTTTGTAGTTCCTGATTAAATCAATAAAATATATTTACGCATTCATTAATTTTTTTGAGTCACCCTGTATATGCAAATCCAAAAAATACGAATGGAGTGATAGATCACAAGTACAGACTCATCATATTTTGTACATTTTAGATATGATTTATTCCACAAACTTTTAAGCTGACGTCATCAAATTTTTGGAGGGGATAAGCAAATATTTTTTGACTAAAGATTTATGATGCTCTTTATAGCCTTAAAATATCTGCAACATTTCAAAGCATTCTGGTTAGCAGATTAAAAATTAAATTTCAAAATATTGTTTTATAATTTTGATTTTTTTTACAAAAATCTGGACGTTTCGGGTGAAAAGTCGATTCAGAGTTGTAAACTACATGTGTAGGACTATGTTATTTTATACAATTGAAAACCCATTTACTATGTACAATTTTGAAGTGACGTCATCGCATTAGTGGTGGGGATGATTAGACAAATTTTGGTTAGCGTTTTACCATCTACATGATATTCTTAATATAAGTACAAAATTTCACAACAATCGGTCGAGTACTTTCGGAGATTATCTGTCTAATAAAAATCCGGGACAACAGACGGACAGACGGACAGACGGACGGACAGACGGACAGACGGACAGACGGACGGACAGACGGACAGACGGACAGACAGACGGAAATGGGAGACCTATTTCTTCGTCTTCTAGGGGTCATGAAAGATCGAGAAAACGTAAAAGTAGAGAGTCGGCCGACGGACTCGATTACAATACTTCCTTTGCTTACGCTCGGGAAGTAATAAGTGAATTTCCTACTACGTGGTTTATATGAACACAATTTCATAACTCTTATATTGCGTTAGAACCAAAAACAGTTCTTTTCCATATGCTTCCTTGGAATTCTTTCGCATGAGCACATTGTCTGAAAAATTTTGTTTACAAACACGGGACGTATTAATAAATTCTCTTGAAATTATATACATAACTTTAAAGAACAATAAAAACAACCATGGATTTTTTAAATTGTGTCTTTGATTGTTACATTTTCTACTCAAACTTTTAAATTGACGGTAATCTGATAAGACGAAAATTCTATCAAAGACAAAGTTTCAAAAACCCATGACTGTCTTTGATCGTGTTTTTTATAAAATACTTATTCTTTTTCAGGTTCAACGTCTTGGATATTCAATTTCAACTTTAATGACAGGATTAAAATAAATTTTCATTTGGAATTATATGCTTATGACGTTCATGTAAGATTCACTGGTTAATTACAGGTTGATGCAGATACCTAAATATCAAGCTTCTAACATTGTAGATATTAATTATTTATTACATCATATGTTTGAGAAAAAAATGCGTTTGAAATTAGCTAAGCCTCCTACAGTGTGCAATTCTTGTTAACCGGAATTATGTGCACGTTTTTTTTTAACAAAATTTGTGCACATAAATGGGTCAAATATGTACATAATATGTTTATTTTTGAATAAATATACCAAAATGCTTATTACTAGAAATACACATTTTATTATTCACATAAATATGAACACATACATTTATAAAACAGAAATAAAGTCAATAAGAGTTAGCGCCAGAACATCTATTTTTTATTAATTAGTAGTCCAATTCTTCCAAAAACTGTCAGAATTTTCATTGTTTTAAAAAAATTATTATCGTCAAAATATGTACAAAATTAACTCCTGAAAGATTGTTACTGCGTTAACAATAGTCGATAAGGAAAATGCATTTATTCCGGTTTTAGATAAAGTGATATTTAAGTGCATTTAATTATACACTGAGATAAGACAACGAATAGTATACTTAAAGGTAATGTAATTAAGATAGCCACAATATCCTTAATTGCTATTTTATTTTAATGGAATGTTTACTCAACGAGTGAAGAAAATGTAGTGATAAATATAAACTGAGTAACCTAAATAGTCCACGATTGAGTATCAAATTCCACCTCTTTGATAAAAATTTTATTGCAAACGCCGCAGTAAACAAAATAAAGACACATAAATATAAAAACTCTGTTGTTATCAATGCTGATTATTTTATGATAACCTAATAAAACCAGTTATACACACAAGCAGTGTGAATATTTTAGAAATGCCCAGAATTTTAGAAAAAAAATGTTGTAATGGTAATGAGTTGTTTCCTGTGACAGTTAATAATTCACGATTTGCTGTGGGAGTATTACAAATAGGCGCCGTCAATGATGTAATAGTAATTTAAAATTCATTAAAATTAAGGTAAATAATTAAAATTCTTTATAGGTGACATTCTTATGTCTATTTTTATTGACTGATGTAAGCATTCTCACATAAATAAATATGCCCCAAAAATTGCTGGTGGAAAATCATTCATTAATAAATTTGTGTCAAAATGCTTGTAAAACCTTCACAATTTCTTCTTGTTCATTATCCCTAGCTAGATCAATCGGCAATTTACCACTTTTATTCCTACAATTAACATCCCCCTTGTTCGAAATTAAGTACTGAAGAACCTCCACATGTCCCCGAGCCGCAGCATCATGCAAAGGAACATCCCCATCGTCATCTACTACATTTACGTCAGCACCACAACCGTGAAGAAATTTCACAATATCTAAGAAACCTTGAGCAGCAGCAGCAAACAAACTACTATTTCCATGAAAATTACGAACATCAACTTCGGCCTGATGCTCAACCAAGAGTCTGACAATACGAAAACTACCCATAGAAGCAGAAAAATATAAAGGTGTACAACCATCTACTGTCATAGCGTTAACATCAGCACCATTCTTCACCAAACACGCAGCACAGTCATAGGCATCTTTAACACATGCATAATGAAGAGCGGTCATCAAAGTTCTTTCTTCTTTGGTATTAACATCAGTGACATTCTCCTCGATCAGAAACTGAAGAATGTCCAAAAAGTTTTTAGAAACAGCAGCAAGAAAACACTTTTTAAACTCGTCTGCCAAGTCACCTAAAGACAAATGTTAGCTTTCGTGTACTAAAAACAATCGACTTACCTCTATGGTGAAATTTTTTGACAAACAGTGTCACCATGTCCACGTTATTAGTCAAAACAGCGGTGACGAGAGGACTCCACCCAAAGTTATTTTTCAAAGTGACGTCTGCATCTTTGTCCAGAAGTTCATAGGCACAGTTGTCATAACTGCGTTCCAAGTCAATCTTGATCTTACAACTTGATATAAATTTGATAACTTCGAAAACGAAGGGGCCTGGAATTTTTTCAACTAAGCAGTGTAGAGGCGTTCTTCCTGTTTCATCCCGAGCGTTAACATTGCAGCCAATTTTGATTAAAAGTATAAGTGTGGCAACGTCGCCAACTCCTGCTGACAGATGTAGAGGGCTTGAGGAACCAAAACCTTTTGTAATATCGTCACCACTGTTAATCAATTCTCTAATAATATCAATTTTACCCAAGAAAACTGCATAACATAGGGGGCTCAAGACGACATTATCACATACATTTACGTTAATGCCTTTCATAACTAACAGTTTAACGCAGTACAGACTTGTCGTAGCAGCAAAATGAAGAGCAGTCCTTCCTTGGTCGTCTTTGACATTAATATCGACACCAGAATTGAGAAGAGTTAGCAGACAATCAGGAGCGTCATAAATACAAGCCAGTCGTATCAAACTGATACCATCTTCTAAGTTTGCGCTATATTTTAACAAACATTTAACCACACGTTCATCTTTTGCAATGATAGCATAGTGCAGAGGAGTCTCACTTTTGCAATCTTTGGCATTAACTTCAGCTCCATGTTGAAGCAATTCTTCAGTTGCATGAACTTTTCCATTCTGGGCAGCAAAATGAAGAGCTGTCACGAACGAGTAACTTTTAGCATTCACATCAGTCGTCGAGTGATCTAGAAACATTTTCAGAATGTTATCATTGACGATCGCATAAAATAAAGGGGTAAATCCATGATTGTCTCGTCTATTAACGTCGGCACCATATTTTATCAAAATTTCAACAGACTTGTCAAAACCTTTTAACGTGGCAATGCGTAAAGGCGAATCTTTGCACTCTTTACTGTCCAAATCTGCCCCCAATGTAGCCAAAAGCTCGATAATGTCGTAGTAATTGTTCAAAGCAGCTAGAGTCACAGCGGTTGACTTTTCTTCAGAGTATTCATTGATAACACTAGGATTTGCTTCGATTAGTATTTTCGCAATGTTCTGTTGCTTGTTGATTAAAGCAACGTGCAGTGGAGTGTACAGCATGTTTGATTTAATTGTGGGGTCAGATCCGTGCTGTAGCAACAACTTGACGATTTCTTCGTCGTTCAGTTCACAAGCATTGTGAAGAGGGGTATAACCATACAATGTCTTACTTACTCTGTTAAGATCAGCTGCAAACAAACTATGATGATTTTAATTATTCAACAATATCACTACATATTTACCTTTGTATTCTATCAACAAGCAAACACCTTCCAAAGATTTATTATCTATACAAAAATCCAAAGCTGTGTGGTCCATATAATTCACATAATTAACATCAGCTCCATGATCAAGTAGCAACCTCATAATGTCAATATGATTTCTTAAGGCTGCCACTTGAAGAACAGAATTGCCATCGGTGTTATATTGATTCGGGTCCATTTTGTCTTCGCTTAACAACTTCTGACAAAAATCAGTGAAACCCATAGCAGCGGCAAAAATCAAAGGCGATATTTGGTGTTGACCCAACTTGGCGCCTTTTTCTTGGAGGAGTCTAAACATCTGCAAATTACCGTGAGAAGCTGCTGTGAACAATGGACCTCCTAAATCTTTAAATGGTTTATTGATAACTTCTTGATACTGAGGTTGAGATAACAGTGTTGCTACGAAATCAGTTCTATCCATTTTGACTGCAAGCTGGAGGAGCGTTCGGGTGTCTTCGCCTTCGAGAATCTCGATGTATGGATAAATTTTGAGTTGGTAGAACACACTGGGATAATTAAATTGAACACTGTAGTACAACAAATTGATAATGTCGAAGTTTGGCAGATCAGTTAGATTGATACAGTTAGACGACACGAGTACTTCAAGTAGTGCAAGTGATAGTGTTCGGTCACAATACTCTACAACATTCCACTGGTATAGTTTGTCCGTTTCGAACGGATTGCAGCCACGAGTTAGAAGAAATTTAACAATTTCCACATTTTCGTCAGGGTTGTTGGATATTTCATCAGTCAAAATTATGTTCTTGTCATAAACGTTGACTCTAGGGTGTTTCGTTCCCCAAGCACAAGCAACGTGTAACGGGTTCCGACCACCCTTATCTTTACAAACTGACAAGTCTTCAGTACTACCCTCCAAAACGTCCAAATGTCGATACAAAACTGCAATATGAATCGGACTGTCTTTTGCCAAAATCATATCAAACATCAATCTTACATTCCTCTGGTCATGATCAAGTATCACTTGCAACAGTTTTGGAAAGGCCTTGTAATTTTTGACTAACCAAGACGCTGTCAAAAATTCTTCAAACGTCTTATGGGTGAATATCGGCTTCCTTTCGTCATTGAAGCCAAAAATCAGACCCAAGCGATCTCTGTCGTGTTCAACTTTTTGCAAAAAATCGTGACAATCTAGATTCAATGAGGAAAAAGTTGCTTCGTCGAACGACGCTTTTAACGCCGCTACTTCGTATAGGAGAACTTGACTCTCTTTATACTTTTTCTGGATTTTCTGCATCACGTAATTGTTCTTACTAGCGTTCGCCCGTTCATATAAGTTTCGAAATTTTCCATCAACGAACTCGGTGTAGATGTCAGTCAACGTAACGATTTTGACTTCCTCTAGGTATTTCTCCGGGTTTTTTAGAAAAATTTCCATCACCATGTAGATTTGTAGAGGAACTCCTGAATAGTCAAAGTATCCGCAGCTCAAAGACGATGACATATTTTTGTTCAGCTTTGACACCATCAACTGGACTTTTTCGTCGTCATCATATTTCTCCGTCAAGTGATTGTAGATATATTCCTTCTGATTTTTTTCACTGAACTGAGTGACCGTCACCGCTAGAAGACCAAACGTGTTTTCTAGAAATTCCTTCGAGTTGTCTCGCGCTGCAATCCACTGAAAGAAACCCTCTTCTGCTATTTTTTTAACCGATGAAACCACATTCTGGACACTGTTGACTGGTAGTTCGTCAAAACCGTCCCACAAAAAGAGGATTCGTCGTCTAGCTGCGTATATTTTAATGCAGTCTTTGACAAAACGTTGTTCACTTTCGTGTTTTAGAAAATAGGTGACGATTTCTTCAAAGTCGTGTTCTTCTCTAAAAAATTTGATATGGTCGTTGAGATTGATAAAAATAACCCAACGATCTGGTGGACACTTGTACTTTAAAAATTTCAACAAAATAGACTTCCCCATACCAGGACCGGCACACAGGACATTAATTCTGTTTGAGAAGTACTCAAGCATGTCTGAATCTTCCACAAAACCGTTGTTGTCAAAATGATGAAAATCTAATTGATGCGGTTTTAGACACTTAACACTACCTTGAGTTTCCAACCACTCTATGGAATTCTTTGAAACGACTTTAACATGATGACAGTTCCTATCTTGGTTTAAGAGACAGATTTTTGCGAAATCGTCTTGATTCCACACATTGTCAACCAAAATCACAAATTTGTTTGGAAATTGACTAGCACTGGCATTTTCTTTCAACACGAGGTACTTATTTAGAGCGTAAGTGTGGCTTTTTGGTTTAAAATTCACGAACCCGTTAAGACTGACAACAAAAATATCGTCCACCATTTCGTCGATAGCACCAGAGGCCAGCAAAATTTTTGGACAAAATCTTGTTACGTAATGTTTTGATACGTCTTTCTTGCAGTCGTTGCCAACCACGAAGCTATTGTTCAGCATTTGGATAATTTCCTTAACTGAGATTATTTCATGAAAATCAGGATCAATGTCTAGTAGTCGGTCAAGACGGATGTTTTCGCGGCCTTGTAGAGACACCTCCACACTGTGAGAAATTTCGTCGTACACAGAACAACTAACCAAATCTGACAATTTTTGAAAAATTGTCACCTCGTCGCTGAATTCTTCATCGTCGAAATTTTGGTCCAGTACAACGAATTTCTTCTTCTTTTCGTGGTTTTCACAAAGTTTGATGGCGGCATAAATCGCTTTTTTGGAATTGGGGTTGATTTTGATAAAAAGGGGCACTTTATCCATGTGCCACAAAATAACGTAAACTTTTTTCAACGACTGTTCGATAAAATTTTCTCCTTGAGCCGAAATGGGGATGTTTGTATTCGCGAAAAAGGTTATATTTGTGTCTGAAGATGGGTGAGACCATGACGATAAGTCCACCCCTTCGAAGTGGTCTTTCAAAATGACAGTCCATATTGTTTCGTCAATGTCTGGACTTTCTGATTCTTCAACAACAGTTAGGTCAAAATTTGCAAAAGACTGATCCAGTAAATCAAATTTTTTCCTGTGTGACAATGTAGTGAAAATGACTTGTGGAATATGAGGTGTCAAGATGTACTCGGACAGTTTCAACATAATATCTCTTTTGGTCAACTTAAGATTTCCGAAATCACGCCTCCACCAATATTTGAAAAAATTTATATAATTAGTGATAACAGTGTTATCGCAGTTGTCGAAGAGATTGCAAATGAACTTACTTATCCGACATTCGATCTCTTGAGCGTCCTTCTGCTTGGTGTAAAGCAGAAACTGCTTTAAGAATTCCTCATCCAACTGTGTTTTATCGCCATTTCGAAACTTGTAAATAAAAAAAGCGTCAGTTTCACTCAAATCTAACAACCCTCTTGCTACACATTCGTCATGTCTGTAGATCGTCACTTTCGATTTAAGCTGAACTTCGTCAGAATCAACTTTTTGGTGGTTTTTGTCGTACGCGTGAAATTTTGGAAGTACCTGATTCGTGTAGAGTATAAAGTGGAACTTTTCGAAAGGTATAGTGTAGGACTTGTTATCCCGACAGATTTTCTCCGTATCTTTAAAACCCTGGCAGTACTTCTTCAACCCGAACTTTCCTCCTTTTTCCGCGTCGAAAGCTTGCAAGGTTATGCTATCTTCTTTGACTCCGCGGTGTTTGAGTTGCAGAGCGTACAAGTGTTCATCGCCGTCGCTGTATTTAACTTCAAGGACGACGTCATCGAAATTACCCATGTCGTTGTTGTTTGTTGACATCTTGAAGTCGGAAACGGCTTCATTTAAGCTTAATTTTAGTGCATAATAAGCTGCCATTAAGAATTCGTAGCTGTTGCCATAGTCCAGGCAACCTGAACGCGAGTCAAATTTCTGCAAAAAGGGTTCATTTTTATGTACGAAGTTAAACTTAGTAAGTGTTCTTACCTGATTACTCATGACGAATAATGTGTGTTTGCATGATACAATAAATACTAGAGAATTATTATATCATGGTGTGTTTGTGTTGTCGGAACAAAAACTGCACTTACTTTACACTGATTATTTGATATGTATTTTTATTTCGAAGAACAATAAAACCAAAAGTAAATCAATTATACGAGATAACGTTATTCTTTAATCCTGGTATTTTATCGTATTGTTATCACCGGAGTTTCCTGTGTGATTCATCGCGGTCTGAATTCTCGCGTTAGTTGCACAAATAATCTGTCAGTATTGTTATAAATCTGGTTTTAATCAACTGCTTGTCATTAGACTATATTTGTGAGTATTAAGCTATTAAGTTATTTCCTGGGTGGAATATTCATGTCACCCTTGTTTTAATAAATGTAGGTGAGAAACATCAGCCAATCAAAAATGGAAATAATGAATATTGCTTAATTGCATTTTGAGCCTATTGTAATTTGGAAAACCTCGGAAACATAAAGGTATGTTATCTGGTTATATCGTTGCTGATCAGTGCTCAAGCAGATACTTAAAAACTAAATTAAAAGTAGTGAACTGACAAGTTTATTTTCCTTTTTACTACATCTGAAATTTTGAATATTTTACAACACCATTTAGGAAATGAAATATATTTTATAATATTAGAGAAACCGTTGATGAATTATATAAAATCGCTTGCTACGCATTTTAAAATTTTCTGGTTTATCAAACTTCGATCCGTAACTAATGCACACATTACGAAAGCTTAGAATTTTTACCTCCCGGACGTAAGCTAAGGAAGTATTGTATTCGCGTCCATCGGGTAAGCGGCTACTACACTTTCTCGATGTCTTATGACCCCTAGAGTACAAAAACATAGGTCTCCCGTTTCCGTATGTCTGTTTGTCCGTCTGTCCGCCGTCCGTCGGATTGTTGTCAAATTTTATATGGGTATTTCTACTCATGTAGATGTTTTGTACACGTATAGTCTATGAATTCGAGTTGATTTTTTACCCGAGGCATCCAGATTTTTGGAAAAATAAATCAAAATTGTATAATAACATTTTTAATGAATAAGTCAATTTATTTTATTGATTAAACTAGGAACTACCAAACCGAATGCTTTGAACTCTTGTACACGTTTTATCGTAAGTATGGTAAATTTTTAACCAAAATATATTTGTTAATTCCTCCCAAAAACTGAAGACGTCATCTCAAAATTTTACCGAATAAATCCCACCTAAAATGTGCAAAATATGATGGGTTTATTTTCATTCCATTCATATTTTTTTGGAATTGCTTGTACAGGGTGAGTCAAACAAAAAATGAATGTGTCCACATAACCTTCTACCAATTTTTTTCCTAGAAAATTCTCGTCATATATTTTTGCTTCCCGAGAGCAAGCAAAGGAAGTATTGTAATCGAGTCCATCGACCGATTCTCTACTTTTAAGTTTTCTCGACCTTTCATGACCCCTAGAGTACGAAAAAATAGGTCTCCCGCTTCCGTCTATCTGTCCGTCCGTCTGTCCGTCTTACGTCACTTCCCGACGTTTCAGTAATTTATCACTTGCAAACAGACAGCCACCTACGACAAAGAGCTGCCGCCTCAGTTTTGTTTGTAAAAAATAGGCAGTCGTCTGATGGACTCGATTACAATTCTTCCTTAGCTTACGCTCAGGAAGATGATCATACGTTTTGGATTTCTTTTTGTGAAGATTTGGATCTCTAGGAGAAAACTCAAAGTGGATTCGTATAACACATATCTGGGACTATATTATTGCATAACAATTACATAAATCATTTTAATACAGAATCTTTTGAGATGACGTTATCAAATTCTTGATGGGAATGATTAGTCAAATTTTGGTTAGAGTTTTACTATCTACATGATATTTCCTAGTATACATCATACAAATTTGACAACAGTCGGGGTACTAGTTTCGTACTCCAGGGGTCATGAAACGTCGATTTGGGCACACACGAGAATGAATTTTATTCTTCCATACTCTCCTTGATATTTAGTTAAGCTAAGCTGCAGAACTTTTAATAAAACTTGTTTATGTTCGACCTTTTTATAAACGAGAAAGGGATTAATTATTATTTCAAAAATTGAATGTAAACATGTAAACAATTTCAGTCTCCAGTGTTATTTGCACAAGATCAGTTAACTGAAACAAATAAAGTCTGAAGGTGACTTTAATAACTAAAGTATTCACAGAAACGCGGAAAATGCAATCCGTATCTTAATTCTCAGTAATGTACGGTAACTTTCATTAAAAAAAAAGAAAAACAGATAAACGTCTAACGAAAGCGATAACAATTTCCGCTGTTATCAATCCCGGAGTGGGAACAGATATTATAGAAAAAAGTTAAATTTCTACATATACTTATATTTCTATATAAAATGAAACAAAAAAATTCGTCTAAAGAGTTTAGACAGTACTTTCCTCGCTGTTGGAAACATGACGACTGCATGCCGATTATGTTTTTCTTCTCATTACATTTTTGTAGCGGGGCAATTTAAAAAAAAATTGCGATGACGTCATCAACATTTTTGCAAGAATACGTATGTCAGTTTGGATAGATGTAGTGTAATAAAAATAAAAGTACTGTATTCCCAAATTTTCGGGAAAGTGAATTGGGTCGTCTTGAATATTGATTTATAATCAATAAAATAACGAAACAGTTTACTCACGTATGCCACGTGTATTATAGCAAAGACGACTCAAAATCATTTATGTATAAGCATTCTTAATTTAAGACAACAAGCGGTAACACTTGTTGAGATTGTACACGTGAGATTCAAACAGAGAAACTGCAAACAATACCGATGGTCACCCAGAATTTTTTATTGCTTCGACTTCCGCTTATTGTATATATAAAACATTGGATTTTATTTTAATTTTTGATGGTGTAATTCACAATTGGTTGATTATAACTTGTCTATACCACATTTACGGAACCTAGTCAGCGCAACAAAACAAATGCACGTCTGTAATGTTAAAGTAAATGTAAATAAGCGTGCTACGCCTATGTTTCAAACGAGTTTTTACTTTACAAAATTTTGTGTCTATCAAATCAGGTTGGCACAATGTAATACTAATAATAACAGTGTTGTATCTCCAAATTTTCGGGAAAATGGAATGAACTGTTCCTTATTTAATCAATAAAATAAATTGATTCATTCATTTATTTTTTTGAGCGACCTGTTAAGCAAATCAAAAAAATATGAATGGAATGATAAATCACAACTACAGACTCATCATATTTTGCACATTTTAGATAAGATTTATTCGGCAATATTTTGAATAAAAATTTATCATGCTTATCATAACTGTAAATCATCTGGAAGATTTCAGAGCATTCGGTGTTGTTTCAAACATTTTTAATTTTTTTTCAAAAAATCTAAACGTTTCAGGTAAAAACTCAATTCGGGATCATAAACTACATGTGTAGGACTATGTTATTTTATACAATTTAAAACCCATTTAATATGTACAATTTTGAAGCGACATCATCACATTATTGGTGGAGATAATTAGGCAAATTTTTGTTAGCGTTTTACCATCTATATGATATTCCTAATATAAATATAAAATTTTACAAAAATCGGTCCAGTACTTTCGAAGATTATCTGTCTAATCAAAATCCGGGACGGCAGACAGACGGACAGACCGACAGACAGACGGAAACGGGAGATATTTCTTCGTCTTCTAGGGGTCATGAAAGGTCGAGAAAATGTAAAAGTAGAGAGTCGGCCGACGGACTCGATTACAATACTTCCTTTGCTTACGTTTGGGAAGTAAAAATTTACCACCTTGAAGGAACAGATTTAGAACGCTGAAATTTTGTAGAAATTAGTAAGGCATAAAATTTTTATTATTTACGTCGTCTAATACCAACAGCAAAGCGCTTCTTTAGAAACATAGCAATAAGCGACGTCGTAGCCCTGCGAAAAGCTCTTGGTTTGTATATGAAAGGTCCGGGGTTCGATCTACATCCCCGACATTTTTTTGTTATTATTACTGTATGTTATACTGTCCCTGTTCAAACTGAAAAACGAGTTCTCGTTAAAATGTTGAAAATGTCATTCAAAATTTTGTAAGGTAAAAACTCACTTGGAACATGCGCATAACATGCTTCTTAAATATCCACACTTATCTTTATTTTAACTTACAGGGGTTATCATAAAAAATAAATTTTATCATTTGTCAAAAAGCTGTATTTATTCAGGGACAAAAGAGAATTTCTGAGTAAATAAGTTTATAGCAAAACAGAATAAAAAAACGTACATAAAGTTCCACAAAAAAAAAGATAACGTCATATCACCGGGTACAGGATGTTCGGTTAAAGGGGAATACCAATTACCAGTTTTTTGTGTTATGTTAAAATTAAATAAAATAAATAACTTTGTGTTTTGTCTTACAGTTGGAAAACAATTAACTGCAACCGATGAGCCATGGGGGATGAGGTGAGTAACAGAAAATCTTTAACTTTTTAGTACTTCAGCTTTACTAAGCAATCAAAAATGAGTTTTGGATTATTCTGTTTTTAAAACCTCTTGACACCACCGTATGTGTTCCTGAGCTATTGTAGATTGAAATACAATTACAATGTCCATATTCTTTGAAAGAGGGATACTTTTTTAAAATTCACATCCAATGTACAGTAACCAAAAAGATGAAATCAAAAATTCCCAACTAATATTGATTACTACAGTTTTAACAAGAATTTTTAGCATCTTCGAGTTAGTAGTAATAAATCATTCAGCTAAATTATTGGTTGCCTATCTATCAGGAAGCTTAAGAAAGTTTATTGATAGAATTTGTGGCGGCAAAATTCAAAAAATTTCAAAGCTGACTTATAGCTATATAGATTTTTTTTACTTCCTACATTTTGCGAATTATAATACAAAAAAATAGGAATTTTTCGAAAATATTTGTCTCATTTTTCGACACAAAACATTTTCTTTCCAGACCTTCGCCTCTCGAGATGAAGCCATCGACTTCGGAAAAGACTACGAATACCTCATGGCCGCCTACTACGGCCTAAAATTAAGCTTCTGCGATGAAATCAAAGATTTCAAACTCTCAACAAACAACAACGACTTCGGCGATTTTGACGATGTCGTGATAGAATGCACCATGACCAACGGAGAAGAACACCTCTTCGCATTACAACTCAAACACGTCATTCGCCCCATTGCCCAAATCACCCTCATCACAAACAACAAAAAGTTCGGCCTGAAGAAATACATCAAAGAGTTCCAAAAAGTAAAAGCCGCCTACAAAAAAAACCGCTCCTACACCGCGCCTTTCCAAAATTTTCACTTCGTTCTCTTCAGTAATTCCGCTTTGGAAAAAGGCGACGATTTCACTGAGGAGTGGAAGAAGCTAGAACCACTAGCAGACGGTAAAGTGGTCGAGTCTGACTTATGCATTCGAAGAAACGAAAACTGTTTTGGTGAGAATTTGTTGGCGGTGGCTCAAAGCGAAGAAAACTTTTTGTACGAATTCAAATCGGAGAAAGAGGATTCACCGGATGAAGAATTTTTTCAACAATTTGCTTTCTTTACGGAGCAGAAAGATGCTAAGGCAATGGAAGCGCTAATTGCTGAAACCGTTTTGAAAAAGTTTAGAGACTGTGATCCGAATATCGCCGTCAACTATATGAACTACTTTAGTTACTGGTGTAGGAGGGACTACGGTACGTTGAAACTTACAAAGGAAGATGTTAGAGTGAAACTTGCTGAACTTGTTCTAACGCCGTACATTCCCGATCCTGACATGGAAAAACTGGAGTATTTGTCGGATATAAAAGCAGAGCTGGTTAAGATGGTGTTCTTGTTATTTGACATAGTCGTAGTTGATGTCCAAACTGACGACGAACTGATCAATAGGTTATGGGAACCTATGCTTAAGGAGTTTACAAAAATGACTAAACAATGGACTACGCCATTTCCTGGTATATATATTACACATTTCACGAAACATCTGCAAATCCCTGTTTCAGCCTACAGCGAAAACTTTAACGAAATGTCACTAAAGAAATTGTATATGGTGTGTTGGCACGCTGCCAATTTTCCACTGGTCTTAAAACTAGATAAAAACCCTACACGTAATGAAGATATTCTTTCGGGAATTGAACTGTGTGAAAATAACGGAAATAAGAAAAAATTTCTCTTGATTGGCGACAATCAAATTGGTAATTTTGACCCAAAATGGACCATTTTAAAAACCATATCAGATTTGGAGACCCGTTTCGGAGATTTTTTAGCTCTTATCCAAGAGCATTTCTTTGTTTCTTTTCAAGGACGACCAGCTATCACTCTTAAAGAACTTCTAAAAATGGATAAATGCCTATCAGAATCGGTTTCAACAAAAGAAATAATCCATATGTCACACGACGATTTTGTCATTGGAACTGACTACAAGAAAACGTTTCCAAAGTACTACATACCAAGGGATTTCCCAAAATTGATTCTCCGCATTAACGCCATTAATGAACTCGGAAACGAATTATTTGTAGTAAGTTCGTCACACCCAATCAACGACAAAAATCTCAAGGTAAACCTAATCGACGTGGACAAATATCTTCTCCTGAAGCAGTTTGGTCGTGGAAAAAACTACACCCCAAAGCAAATAAAAGTTTCTAATTTAGAAAACAGAAGTCAAGACGACGACAACTTCTTCATATCTGTGAATGGATGTTGCACAAAACAGCAATTTGAGGAAATCTGTTCAATGAACGAAGGAAAAAATTGTCACCATGTTCGATTCATTGACGAGGAAAAACTTGAGTGGATTGAAAGTCGATACAGCATTGACAATATTCAGAAATACGCAGTGGATTCTAAAACACTGAAACCAGAAGATTTTGTACAAGACAAAAACCTCCTTTCTCATTTTAAGAACAAGATCAATGTGATTTGTGCCGAACCTGGTATGGGAAAATCTGTTACCATGAAAAATTTGGCCCTTGCTTGTCCCTCCGACCACTGGGTAGTTATGATCAGTCTCGGCGAGCATGCCACTTTTTTCCAACAAGAACGTGACTCAAGCGAGGTGTTAAAGTACTTTCTGAAAATGGAACAGCAAACGCCTTTTGTTAAACACGTCACAGATGCTTTGTCTTCAAAAAAACAGATATTGTTCTTGTGGGATGGTTTTGATGAATTGCCTGACAAATGTGTGAAGTTTGTTGTCAAAGCTGTGAAAGATATGGCCAGTGAAGGGTACCCTCAGTGGGTGGCGGCTAGAACGAATTCCAGGGAGCTTCTCCAGAAAGCATTTACCGTACTTTCCTTGACACTACCAGAGTTCAGTCGACAAAATCAGTATGATTATGTCTATTATCACCTCAAAGAAATCTACCAAGACGACGCAAAAGTCCAAGAAGTTATAGACGAAGTAGACAAAAATATTACAGTATCGTTGAACTGTGGATACTTTGACTACACAGGAATTCCGCTGCAAATCCACATGGTCGTCGACATTCATTTAAGAAAACCAAACAACCTTACAACTTCTAGTCTCATCACTTTAACCGACATTTATCAAAAATTCATCGAAGGGAAATTTGATACTCTGTTCGAAAAAGCAGATGCCGATCTTGACAATCCTTACATGCAAGAAATTCGGTCCCAATACATAGCTTCTCAGTTGGTTTTGTATGAAAAAGCCGCAATGAAAACATATTTCGACGACCAACTAGTCGCCACTCTTGATCTTGAATGCGACGAACTGTGCGAAGAATTAGAAGAAGGTGCCGATAGTTTAGGATTGATTACAGGTGTTAGTAACGAGAAGAAATTCGTTTTTGCTCACAAAACATACGAAGAGTTTTTGGTGGCGTCGTGGTTGGTCAAAAATTGGCAAAATTGCCCGGATTTGATGAAGATTTTGTTTGAAGCAAAATATAGCAACGTTCGACTCATGTTTGATATATTGATGGCCAGAGATAGCCCTATTCATTTAGCTGTTTTGTATCGTAACATAGATGTGATAAAGCAACACGAAGAAGATATAGAAAGTTGCAAAGACAAAGGAGGTAGAAGTGTTTTGCACGTGGCGTGCTCTTGGGGGCGCAGACACCCTTTAGTTGCAGTAGTGGAGAATGATACTAAAATTGAACCAGTGATTTCGAGTGACGAGTTCATTGATAATTACTGCTTGGGTCAAGCGCAATTTTTGAAAAGATCTAGTTCTATTGAGGCGTCAGATCTAGTGTCTGAAGGAATAAAACAAAGGTTGACCAAACTGTATCACAGTGAAGATAACACAACTACATCTGCAAGTACGATTTCACTAAACATGAATAGTATTACCAAAGTTGATTTAGACGACGAAGCTTACTTGGAAATTTTAAAATTCCTTTTAGATCATAAATGTAATGTTTGGGAGAAAGACATTTTACTTAATTGGGATGTGTTTCAGTACGCTGATCAGTCTCTGTCTCTTGGAGTAATTAACCTCCTGATTAAATATCATAAGGTTACTATAAAATCTTTAAATAATTACAGTCACGTCCCTACACTTTTACACTATTCAGTGATCTTCTCGTACGACAATCTTTTTGACACTATTACCGACGTACCATACATTGAGTACAGGTTCCATTTTGGAAGACTCAACTTATTACAGATGGCAAGTGAAGCAAACAACCTCAAATTCGTCAATGAATTACTGAAACATAAACCGTACAAAGAAGTTATCAACAACCAGAGTCCCTTCGGTGGAAATTTGTTAACATCAGCAGCCTTTCACGGGAATTTGGAAATGCTCGAAAGTCTCCTAGAAAACGGTGCTAAAGTCAACGGCCACGTCATGCCTCCATTGTATGCTGCAGTTCTTGGTAAAAAATCAGATTGCTTCAGTAGATTACTCAGAGCAGGCGCAGACGTAAACGAAACCGCCTCTGATGGAAATTCTGCTCTTACAATGTCAACTATGATGAACCGAATAGACTTCATGGAACTATTACTAGAAAGCGGTTGCGATGTTAACTACGTTTCTGGTAATTTGGCGCCTCTATATTGTGCCGCTGGTAGAATGAATTTAGAAGCCGTTCGCCTTATTTTAAAGTACAAGCCTGATGTCAATTACCAATGTGAAGATACAGGTTATACGGCTTTACATGCAGCCAGTAAATCAGACAATCCTGACATAACAAAATGTTTGTTAGACCACGGTGCTAGCACTAAAATCAAATCGAAGAAATTAGTGACACCTCTTCACGTAGCTCTGATAAACGGAAAGAAAGAAGTGGCACTAGAACTAATTAAAGCTGATCCTAGTGTCGTCAATGAATACACTAGCGAATTAACTCCAGTCAGTCTTGCAACTGTGGCAAACTTTCCTGACGTTATTGAAACATTGGCTAAATATGGTGCTGACGTGAATGCTGCTAAATCCAAATTAATTCCTTTACAGTTTGCTGCTTCTCGTCAGTTTGACTCCTGTGTCGTCGAACTGATCAAAGCTGGAGCTTCTGTAAATCGTCCTGATGAATCTGGCGCAACGCCACTATTCTCCGCCACAGATCACCTTACGACAGTGAAAATTCTCCTTGATAATGGTGCTGATATCAATGCCGCAAGCAAATCTGGTGAGACAATAGTGCATTCTGCGGCGCACGGTGGCAAAGTGGAAGTAATGAAAGAACTGGTCGAACGAGGGGCAGATCTTAATTGTCGGAATAACGCAAACTGGACCCCCTTATGCATTGCCATTCTTAACAAACAACTTGCAATGACAAAATATCTTCTAACGCAACGTGTATGTGTCAAAGATCCTGAACTGCTATGCGCTGCAGTGAAAGTAGGGTTTATGGATTGTGTACAACTTCTGATCGAACTTGGTGCAGAAATCAACGCGAAAGATTCCAATGGATTTACACCCCTGTACTACGCTATGTTCTTCAATTCTTCTTGTATTAAAATACTCCTGGAAAATGGTGCTGACCCTAACTACACTGCCGATCTTCAAATTCCTCCACTCTTGTTTGCTCTTGGTCTCAGTGAAACAAGTGTGATGAATCAGTTGATAAATTCCGGTGCTAACATCCAAGGTTTGGAAACTGTGACGTCTCTTCATTTTGCTGCTGAGTTGGGCGACATATTTAGTCTGGTTTTTCTTGCTGGGAATGGGGCTGACGTTAACGCAAGCGACAAAAATGGACGCATTCCTTTACACTCAGCTTGTCAAAAACGTAAATTCTCATCTATTCTGCAGAAAGTAAGCGACAACGATTTTAGCGTATACATTCACAAGAATAAAGAAGATTGCATCTCGGAATTACTGGTAAGAGGTTCTCACGTGAACCAAAAGGACAACGAAGGACTAACTCCACTGCATATGGCTTGTCGAGACAAGTGTGTAGAAGCAGTCAGACTGTTGCTTCAGCATGGAGCAGATGTGAATGTTGTGAACAATAAAGGACACTCTGCGTTACATATGTGTTGCGATGATGGTAGTAGTTTGAGTGAGCTTTGTTATTATCTTTTAAATATTCTATTTTTAGAAAATACTCACTCCCTTACAGAGATAGTTAAAATGTTGGTCGACCATGGTATAAATGTAAATCTAAAAGATAACGAAGAAAGAACAGCTCTTGTCTACGCTTGTGCCAGTGGTGACTTGGATTCACTAAAGTATCTACATCAAAATGGTGCCGATCTCTTCGTTGAAGATAGTATGAAAGATACGTTGTTATCAAGTGCTGCACGGCATACAACTCTGTTGAAATATCTAGTTGATAATGGTTTAAAGGTTAATCATGCCAATGTCAATGGACTGACACCTTTGTTCCAAACAATCTCTTGTAGTAATCGTGATGGTACTCGGTACTTGATTGAACGAGGAGCTGATATTGATGCCCTTACTATTCAACATGCAACCCCTATACATGCAGCTGTATTAAAAGGCGATGTGGAAATCGTGAAATTATTATTGGAGTTGAATGCCGATTTGTCTATCAAATGTATTTTTGGAAATACAGCTATTTCTGCCAGCTACAACAATTTAGAAATTATCAAACTGTTCGCTGAAGAATTTGGAGGTTTGAAAGACGGCGAAACCAAAAATGGAATAACCAAAAGTAAGTTTACATATATATTTTTTAATTTTAGTCCATCCATATACACCATACATGTTTTTGTTGTAGATGATGACTTGAGAAAACAGTGGACAAGAACTTTTCTCTTTGCCGCTAGTAAGGGTTGCCTCGAAAATTTGAGATTTCTGTGCGATAGCGGGTTGGCACAAGTTATAGACAAAGACGAAGCTAATGCATGTACGGCCTTACATAATGCTTGCTCCAACGGACACTATGACGTGGCAGTTTATTTAATAGAAAACGGAGCTGATGTTAACGTTAAAAATGTCAATGGTGATGTGCCTTTATGTTTTGCGGCAAATAGTGGTTACCTCGACATTGTGAAACTTTTGATGGAACATGGTGCAGAATTAGACGTTCCGAATCACCATGGTACGACGGGACTGTATGCTGCTGCTGCTAATGGTCATCTGAAAACAGTAGAATTTCTTTATGAAAATGGAGCTAATGTTAATGTAGTTGATGCAGACGGAGACACCCCACTCCATGATGCTGCACACAACGGGCATTTGTCTGTTGTGCAATATTTAGTTTTACATAGAGCTAATACTAGTATTAGGAATAAGAACAAGAAAACTGCTCTTGATTTAGCGGTTGATCAAGGAAATCAAGATGTTGTTGATTTTTTAACTATACATGAAAATGTGTGATAATATGTTACTGTATTGTGATTAGGTCGAATTGCTCAATTATAAAAATCTAAAAATGAAGTACGTGTTTCTATACTAGAACTGGATATGACAAAATTCTCCACAGAGTACCATTTTTGCATTTTAATTTAATGTCATTTTCCACCTTTATGGTTCTTTCTCACCATGGCTTCGTACCCCGTAAAGGACATTTCTGTACGCCACATTCGTAATCCCTTGAGTTAAATCAAGGTTTAGACTTGTTTTACTTTCCCAACTATCTCTTTCCAGTCATTCCTGTTTTCCGCTATTTTTTTCCAGTTGAGAATCCCTAGTTCTTGTAACCCCTCTTCAACACCATCCAGTAGCAGTAAGACCAGCTGTCTAGTTCTTTTTTTCTAACCTAACTCGTTCTTACGGTCCAAACTTCCTATAAACAGAAGTCGGCATTAGAACCGAAATAGTTGTGTCGAGTCAGGCTGATCAGCCATTTGGTTTCTCCGTCTAGAGACACTTCGGCGTTACTTTCGCCCTCATGCAGAAGTCGCTCCAGGAGGCCCCACCGTCATTACGTAGCTGAAGAACCCCTCCCTCAAGCTTTTCCCGACTCAGTACATGATCAGATGGATCTTCTCGTGTAGGTTATTAGTAATCTAATTAATTATGCGAATGCAACATATTCTGCCCTCGTACTTCATCGACCGATCACATGGCAAAAACTTATTTTAGACACTAAATTTTGTAATAAACTATAGAAAAAAAGCTGTCAAAACGACCACATCTGCATATTATGATTCTATAGAAGGTTGTCCTCTTTTCTGGAACCTGACTTATTCATGATTCGTCACCACTGAATTGTTTTCTAGTATTTCTATTCTTGTTCTTGATCTTTCCTCTATTGCTTTTTGATATTCGTCATCAAATCATTTCCTTACGTATATTTGGCCCTCTCGGAAATGATCTCTTTCAGTTTTTTCCAAACATCAATTTTATATTGCTTTGCTTTTTTATCAGGGTTTGTATTGCACCAACCTTCTTAATGTCATTACATTCTATGTCGCAATTACCCCTTCTTAAAAAAAAGTAGGTTCATAATTTAAAATTTCTTCGAGGGTTTCATAATTTTTGTGCGCATGTCTCAATTTTGACAGAATGTTTAGGTTATTACAGTGTACTATAGCCCCTAGTACACAGTGCAGTGTACTTCTCCAAACATTGCAACTGTAAATTGATTCGAAAAAATTACAACTACTAAAATATAAACAGTTTTATTACAATAAAATAAATAATTTACAAATAAGTTAAAGTATATAAATATTAAAATTAGGTCATTTTTTTAACAAAATATTACGCTATATATAAAGACAAAGATAAAATGTAAACTTACTCTGAACGATATTTTACTTGAGGGGGCATTAAACAAAAGGCCGGAGAAATTTTAACAGAACATTCACACTGAATGCCATCTTCGCCCCAGTTAAACGACCCCACTTCCGTGCTACAATTTGGGCACAGCAGCTTGTTTTTTGTAGTTTTAGCAACATGCTTCATCCAGGCTATTGGCATGACAAAAAACGATTTTTCACAAATTTCATTCTCATTTTCATGTGGAATACAACTCGATTTGGGCGCTAAAATCCTCGAGCATTGGCTGCAGTAATAGGCAAAATGTCCTGACTTTGGTTCAGCTAGTCCAGGATCTGGTATAATTAAATCTAAGGAATCTTGATGTAGTAAACCATGATTATTGATTTGCCTAGCGGCTGTTCGTAATCTAAATAATCTATAACTGGTATGCTGGGTATCTAGCTGATAACCAATTTTTTCATATAATTTTAACTGAGCTTCAAATCCTGGATTTGGACATATTCTTCTCTTTCTATTTACTTTTTCATAGGCTTCCTCATACATTAGGTGGTATTTCTTCATCATAAAAGCTATTACAACTGAGGCGCTTCTGGAGACGCCCATTAGACAGTGGACCAATACAGTTCCTTTTGTCAGTCCTTCGGAGATGAAAGTGTAGGTGTCATCAAGGTGACTTATTAGATTTTGATTGTATTGTAAATCATACAGAAAGATATGTTTTGTAGTGAAGCATTCATTCTTTGTAATTTCTTCTGACAACGGTTCATCTTCAATAGTTAAGATGTGTGTAATGTTGTGGTTCTTAAGAACATTTATATCTTCAGCTGCTTGTCGACACCCTAAATATAAATTCGGTTCTATAAGTTGTAGCATTCTGACGACCAGGAACCCTTACAACACTGATTTTTTTTTAATTTCACTGTTCACCAGTTACCTAAAATTATTCAGCTAATGTAAGAAATTCTGCTTATATAAACATTCTTTTTTCTACTCAAACCTGGTTAACGTCTTGTTTGGTGGATGTTGATGGCTTAAACATGTAACATACTCCGGGTAAACTTGCTTGTATCGTGAACTATAAAACACACCTAAAACGATAAGAAAATCACCAATAGTAATTAAGCCTATTATCAGCGAAATAAAATGTTTTCAGCTAACATTAGGTGGCGCAGTTCTGATTCGTTAAGTTTTTTTAATTTTTGCTACCACCCACTAGATGGCACAAATACATAGGAAATATTAATGGGTTGAAATTCGTTTATTCGAAGGATTTAACAGCCTTAAGAGTTATTTTCCGCAACTGTAAACTATAATTATTATGCTTAAAACAAATACCAAATCTCAATCCCCTTTAATGTTGATTGCCATCATGTGTCGCAATATTTTACGTAATATTGACACTGGTGATATTGATTTCAATAATCAGTGGCGTCGCTTACTATAGTTCTACCAGGTTCTGCTGATATTTAAATAAATTTCAATTTTTAACGAAATAAAAATTACTGAAATAAACTATGCATATGGTTTGTGGATAAACTCAATTTTAACACATTTACATCCAGTACTATTAGTGCTATTACTGGCTAGATATATGACATAAATACATACACACATCGGAAACAGCGGTTCGTTTCCTGTTTTTAAATGGCGGTATAACTCCTCAATATTGATAAAAGGAGGATTTGTAATTGTTGTTTTGTGTTATTAACTTTTTAATCATCAACTTCTACGACAAAAAATGAAGAAAGGATACTAACCAGATCCAGATCTGTTGGTTTATACAGGAATAAAATGCTCATATGAAAATAATGTTTTGTTATTCTTTGAGATGTCTAAGTGACAGTTAAATAATCTTTCAAGATCTTTCAAGTGAAAATAAAAAAAAATCGACGTCAGACCAGTTCGTCTGTCTGACTCATGTCGGACTACTAATCTTATTATAGAACCCAATTTGTATTTCAGCTGTTGCGAAGCAACTCAAGACGTAGAAATTCTTAAGAAATAAAACACTTCAGACATATGAATTACTCAACTGAAGATGAACAATTGCCAACTGAAATTATAAATGCTGAAAATTTCACTACTAAATAACTATTAATAGGTATTTAGCGTTTTAATTTACTTTTTGTTCAAAGCTCAAAAAATACGAATTATAGTAATTTGTAATTAAATCAGAACAAAATACATGAGTGATTGTAGTTCTTAACTTTGAAGTGTTTGTTTATCTTTGGACGGTATTTCAAATAAAAAAATTCTCTCAAGGTAGTAATGATTATATCGTATAATTTTTTTTTTTAATTTGACGTGAGAGGAGGTTCTGGAAACAAAAAGACGTAATTTAATTATATTCTGACATATAAATTCCACTGTTATTAGCACAAATTGATGTTAAATGAACTAATCTACACCCTACGTTTTTCACATCTTTTGTTTCCAGAGTCTTCCCTTACTTTCAATTTAAAAAATCATACGGTATATGCTTTCAGTTGTTTCGAAGTATTGTTGGTTGCATACATTTTTTTATCTTAAAGTGTTTACAACTTAGCAACGGCAATATTATCGCTAATAGTTCATTTATGGCATAAACTGATCTAAACGTTGGTTTATTTTTAGAGAAACGACTTTGGGAAGTGCGGTAAAATTCATACCCTCGTGGACTCGAAAAAACGGGAGGGGTTTAATATTTTCTTACAGGTTTAATAGTTTGTTAATACTTCTCTTGTGGCTTATATTTGAACCTTTGTCCTCGAAGTGCCTCGAGTATTTTCCGATACCAGCTGATTTTGATTTTGATTGTATATACATATATATAAATGTGATTGATATAATGAATCACATGAAATAAAACCTGATTTAACATCATGTAAATTCTTCGTTGTTTAAAACTGTTGATAAAGTGTGGCATAATTTAACATAATCTAAATTCTTTGTTGATTGAAATACTTGAGTATGGCGTAATTCATTTAAGTAATTTTAATACTTACGCAGCTGTGATAAGCCAAACATCCCGCCTTAAATTGACATGTGAAAACAAACTTGAAAGCCCGCGAAAAATTCAAAAATCCAAAATTTGGCTTTGGCTGTGATCGTCTAACAAAATGGAACCCTACATTGTGTTTTGAAAAATGGCGGGATGCGTTCAGATGCAAATGGTGGACCCCGAGGTTGGAAAAGTACCGCTAAATAAAACACCAAATATATGGAGGACACCAAATTATTTATTCCTCCACTGACAAAAAAAAAAGAAAAAAAAAGCTGCGACAAAGTTACGTCGGGTGAGGACACCCCTTAATGCTCAGCTCCAAAAAAAACTTTGAACGAAAGCGAGTATTTGAATATCACAAATTTAATAAAAACAAAGCAAAATTTGAATTAAAGTAACTGGATGCAAATACACAAGTTATTACGGACGAGCGGCGGCAAATTTAAAATTATGGCAGTCAACAAGAGCACAAATTTTAAATAAAAAACTATGCAGCGGCAGCGGTACCAGAGCGCTATAAGAGTGTGGCGGTCGAACTGTGTTAATTTCATTATAGACCACAAAAAAAATACCCAAACGGGGCGTTGTAGCACGAGCGAAGTTTGGGGCTCCTGGTCGTGGCTATTCTCCTACCCACAACGGTGGTTCTATCTATCGTAAACACTGCCGCCCAGCACGAAGAACATGCCTAAAACGCAAACTAGCAGTTGGGTCCCGGCTGTGGGGTAGAAGCCGACAGCGTTACGTCATCTCGACCGCCCCTGAATTATATTCTAACCTACATCTTTTGTGCAGATGGCGCGATAAATCCCGCCAGCTCGACTAGGAACCGCGCACTCCGCTTTCACCACGTGTTTCTGTGTTATTTAACCAATTCTACGACTCTGATATTAACTACAACTGAACAAGTGTTAAAGTTTCAAAAAGAACAATAAACAACATTTAAATTCGCCATACAATCTTGTGAAATTCTAAACAGCAGATAATTCTGATCTGAGATTAAGATTGAATGTCAGACAATTTTTATATGATGGACAAATTAGTCAACAAAATATTTACATGGGAAAAAACTAGCAAAGATTTATAAAAAGAAAAAATCTGGTGTGAAGTAAACCTTGTGTAGACAAAAAAACACGCATGAAGTTAGAAACTGCAGGGCGTGAAAATTTACTTTCGATTTAAATTATACATCAAAGAAAATGACTGAAATTAAAATTATGAGATAAAGAAAAATTGCATGAGGTGAATATTTACCACACTTGATCAACAATTCAAACAAAGAATATACATTATGTTAAATTATGCTATGATCCAAGTGATTGGTTACTTAAAACAATTTGTTTTGAGAGTTTATCCCAAACAAAACATATGATAAATACACACAAAATGCGTCTTGTGTTACGAGGGAAAATGCGTCTCGGTGATGTAATTATCCAACGTTGCGAGAAATAAAATGTCTCGGTGATGTGATGATGATACGATGATAACTGTCTAAGGAGAGAAATCTTTAATCTCCTCGTCAGTCCACGACAGTATATTATGAATTCTGCTGCACTTTTCTACGGTCTGTTCCACATCAGGTTAATTTAACTACCGTAAATGAACTATTAGCAATCTTGTATGAAGCATTAAGAAGTGTTATAATGCAACACTTAAGTATTAGCATCCAGAAACTTATTCCTAATTAGACAAACAAAATCAAACGAGTCCTGACTAAGTGAATTTCATGAAAACTCCAGTAAGTGTTTATCTAAACAATTTCCTGATTGTTAAATTGTGTTAAGACTAGTTAACGATTAAATTCCTAACATGAACTGTGAAGTTATAAACAATGATTCAAATTTACACAACGTGTTAGCGTCGGTCGAAAATTCGCATTTTTCCGAGTAGAATGCAAGAATTGGCTATGCCTGTTGGGGAAACTGTGGCCTCGTCGTCGTTGTGATTAATTGTCATTAAACAAAGGCTTCCTCCCTTTTATTAACCACCAAGCCAACTAAACTTAACCTACTCACTCACAACACACACACCAAAAGTGACGCTTTCACCTCTCTTAACAAGCCGCTCTCTTTGACCAACCCTATAACTAAAATTTCAAGCAGAACTACCCACTACCCAAAAGCGCTAACATGCACATGGTTGCCTATGTTTAACGATCTTTTTGATTGATTTTTTTTTTAATTCAAATTATTCAAATGTGATTTCGCACCGCTGTTAATTTTTTTTCAGCGCGAAATTTTAATTCAAATTCGGTCACAACACAGTTTAATATATAACTTTAATCCAGATTATTTTCTCTGTTTCTCTATTCCTGTATTTTTTAAATTTGTAGTACCTATTCAAATATCTGCTGAGTTGATTTCAGTTTGTCTTTTGGAAGCTAAGAGCTATAAGGGGTCTTCAGTCTGCCCAAAGTGCACTTAGTCACAGTTTTTCGTCAAAATGGAGGAATTAACAATATTTTTCTCTTCCAAAATTTGAATTTTTCGCGGATTTTAAAATTTTGTTCACATGTCAAATTATGGCGGATTGTCTGGGTTATCACAGGGGTTTGATTACCCTGTTCTTTTGAACACATCGTGCCAATTTGTAGTACTAAATAATCTTTGTGCGAAGTTTTTGGTGGCATGTTTGAGCATTTACACTACCTAAAAAATTGCAAATACAAGTGATTATGCATTCCATAAACAATAACTGATCTTACTATAAGCAGATTATTCAAAAAAATATAGTGGTGTCCCGGTTAAAAAAAAAATTTTTTACAAACGTTAAAACAAAATTAAATTGCAAATAGCCCCTCTCATCGAGTGTAATTAGTGCAAGATCATTTAGTTGACGATTTTCTAATTTGAAACATTATGAAACTCATGGTACAAAGAAAGTTCCATGGAGACTTATTTTATGAGTTTTTTCCGACCCCCTTTTTCAAAATTTAATAAAAAAATCCCTTCATACTTTTGCATTTTCATATAAGAACACAGTTATCTTTTGGGCTGGAATTTTGAATCTGACCATCTTCCATTTCTAAACACGATGTTCTCTATTTTAATTTTTCGCGGGTTTCGTATCTATTGTGCGCATGTCCCAGTTTTAACGAAATGCTTAAGCAATGAACACAGACTTCTCTAGACACTGGAATTTTAAACCGAGTCGATAAAAATCAGAGCAGTAGGAATATAAATCGTTTTATTAAAATTAAATGGTTGGAAACAAATACAAATAGGTTAAAATAGAGACAATAAAATTAGAATACCACTTTTTAACAAACTATATATATTTTACAAAGAAACACGATTAAAATAACAAACTTATTTTGAAAGACATTTCACCTGAGGCGCTGTTAAACAAAAGGCCGGAGAAATTTTAAAAGAGCATTCACACTGAATACCGTCTTCACCCCAGCTAAACGACCCCACTTTGGTGTCACAATTTGGACAGAATAGCGTATATTTTATAGTTTTAGAAGCATCCTTCATCCAGGCTATTGGCATTACAAAATATGATTTTTCACAAATTTCATCGTTATTTTTATGCGGGATTAAACTCGATTCGGTCGCTAGACCCCTCGAGCACTGGCTGCAGAAATAGGCACATTGTTCAGAGTTAAATTCAGTCTTTGCAGTTACTCCAGGATCTGGTGTAAATAAATCTAAGAACTCTTGACTTAGAAAACCATGACTATTAATTTCTCTAGCTGCTATGTATAATCTGAATAATTTGTTACTGATATCCTTAGCCTCCAGCTGACAACCAACTGCTTCATATAATTTTAACTGAGCTTCAAAACCTGGGTTCGGATATATTCTTCTTTTTTGATTGACTTTTTCATAGGCTTCTTCATATGTTAACTGGTATTTCTTCATCATAAAGGCTATTACAACGGAGGCGCTTCTGGAGACGCCCATGAGACAGTGAACTAATACAGTTCCTTTTAACATTCCTTCCAAGATGAACGCGTAGGTGTCCTCAAGGTGATTTAGTAGATTTTGGTTCAGTAAATCATAGAGAAAAATAAATTTTGTAGTGAAAGATTCATTATTTGTGATTTTGGGCGATAATCGTTTATCTTCAATAGTCAAGATATGTGTAATTTTGTGTTTGTTAAGTATATTTACGTTTTCAGCTGCTTGTCGACAACCCAAATATAAATTCGGCTCTATAAGATTGAACATTCTGACGATCAACAAACGCCACCAAACTAAATTCTAAAATTTCACTGATTACCTAAAATTATTCAGCCAACATAAGAAGTTATTTTTATCTAGACAATTTTTTTTTTCGATCCGACCTTGGTTAACCTCTTGTTCGGTGGTTGTTGAGGGCTTAAAAGGCAACAATTTAACATACTACAAGTAAATATACTTATGTAATGCAATATAAGGCGCACATAAAATGATAACAAAAGCACCTGTCAAAATAGTTGAAAGTTTTCAACCACCACTAGGTGGCGCTGTTACGACTCGTTTGTTTTTCAATTTTTTATCGCTAGATGGGGACAATTTTGATGACTACTTGATGACTTTAGAAAGGAGCAAAATAAATTAGTTGCTACCACTTACAGGTTTTAAATTTGAAAAATGTCAAACTGCTTCTCATATTCTGTTTGCAAGTAAAACTGCACACAATCATGTATTTCATATTCACCTGATTTTCAAGATGGGTATTTTTTCTTTGCACCATTTTTGTCCCAGTTTCTTAATTTAAGAATCATTTATCCTGTTCATTTCCATTCCAAATGCGATTTTTTTACATTCTTTTGTAGGAAAGTATTCTTTATTTTCCGCTTAGTTGTTCTGTTACTTTTTTGATCTGCCTTTCTCATAGCTCCTTGTATGTCCTCCCAAAAGCTACCAAACGTTTCATCATTTAACTTGGCTATCCAATTCATTAAATATTCTGTTTTAATTATTCTGCTATTTGGTTCAGGCACTTCATCCACTTCCTTTTGCACCGTTTTTTCTTGATGATTAACCCCAATTTGCGAGTTTTGTTCAAAATTTTCAGCAGTTTTTTTATTTTTGCTTTCTTGTTTTTTCTCAATATTGTGTTTATTGGATAAATATGCAATGTCTTTTTTATTTAACAAATTTATTCGTTCCAATTTAGGTCCTTCTTGTTTTCTTGTATCTTCTAAAATTTTGTCTATTGATATACCAGACTTTAATTTTTCAACCACCATATTCTTATCTACTGTTGACAAATGCTGGCATCTTAATTCATCCTCTTGGTGACCAACATGGGTTCTCCAATAGTCAACAGTTATCTCTCCACCTAAATAATAATTAAATTTGTAATGTCATTTTTCTCAAATGATTAACAAATTTTACCACTATGAATTTTAACAATTAACTTTGAAGGGCACACTCCAGGTATTTTTATTGTGCCACCAGCTTTCTCAGTTCTCTTGCAGTAGTTGCTCTCATAGCCTAAAAAATCAATTCATCATAGGTAATTAATTATTTTGTACTGACTGATATATAAAATGTTTATTTTACCTTTCGTATTGCTTCTATTACACTCATAATTCACAGTTTTGTAGCTCTTACATGAGGTTGTTCTATACTTTGCATACTTTGCCTCCACTTTTTCGGCATTTTTCCATCCTTCATATTGTTGTTCGCTAGAAAATTCAAACTTCACATGCTCTATTGGTACTTCATGAATTTGTTCAATATGATGCCGTAAATTTTCATATGTTTTTAAACCGTTTCCTTCTTTACACAATGGACATAAAACGTGACTCCTCCGAGTGTCCTGTGCAACCATTCCATGTATTCGTTTGATGTGTCGATTTTTAAGCTTGCAACTGGCAAATCTTTTTCCACAGTGTGTACACGTTCCTGACGACACTTGGTCCGGGTGATCCATGTTGTATGTAGTAATAAAATCTGTATTAAATAATAATTTATTACACTTGTTTGTATCTAAAACAAATCCTGATTATTTTAGTAACACATAAAGTCGCAATCTGTCATCTGTCAAAGTTTCCCGCCTTTTCTTTAGTAACCACGCCACTTATGAATCTCACTAAAACCTGCTAAAACTTTTTGGTTAGGAACTAATTTTTTTAAGTTGACAGCACCGCATCCCGTGCTCTTTTTATTTTTTCTCAGGATTCAGTAGCTTTGTATGATTATTTTTAAACACATAAAAATGAATATTAAATCCAAAATTCTCACCATTTCTACTATTTGTAAACACAGAACATCTGGCGCACAATCTATATTGTTTTAAGTGATTTAAGTAATCAGTGGCGTAGCGAAATTTATAAATTTGGGATACACAGGACAAAAGAAATATGTTTAAGTTTAATGAAATAAAAACTATACATTAACATAAAAGGGATGCTGGGAGGCGAAAAATTGTCACCTTGACAATTAAATATTTGTGTTTTTTACATTTGTTCAATATTTTTTCTAAAAATTTGTCTGGTTGGCGACATATTTAAATTGGTTTAAGATTATTTATTATAGACAGAACTTCCCTCACTCCTGACAAATATTTCCATGGTCAACTCTAAAACTTTTTGATCACTTTTATAAAATTTTACAACAATCGGTGGCTTCGAAAATTATCTGCCTAACAAAAATTGATACAGACGACAGACAGACGAAAACGGGAGACCTACTTTTTCGTACTCGAAGGGTTTTAAAACGTCGAAAAAACCTGAAAGCAGCAATTTCTCTGATGTACCCTGTCCCCAAGAAGTAAAAATTTTCAAAATAATTTAATTTCTACATTTAATGGAGTAGACAACGTCATTAATGCCTGGACTAGAGACGTTAAAAAGACGTTGTTTATTAAATAGGTTCCTTTTTACTTTACGAGTGTGAGCGAAGGAAGTATTGCAATCGAGTCCATCGGACGACTGGTAACTTTTTTTGTTTTAAAACGCCTTTTTTATAAACATTTATTAGACATTTATGACAATTACTTGCTATTTGATAGAGTCAAGGTTTCAAAATAAAACCAAAGATTAGATCGAAATATTGAAAATTATAAACATTAGAAAAGCGGATACTCAAAAAATGCAAAAATTGCAAAAACGAGAAAATGAAAAATCGAAGATTGAAAAGTGAATAAACGAGAAGTTATAAAATGGGAAGGAACATTGAAAAAATAATGGAAATGAAGAAGCGAAATTAATATATAAATTCTAGAAAACGAAAATAAAAATAAAAAACAAGAACTTGAAAAATTGAAGAAACGACAAATTGAAAAGTCAAAAAATTAAAAGAAATTGAAAAACTGTAACATCGAAATATTGCAAAATTGAAAAACTGCAAATCGAAGAATTGAAGAAACAAAAAATTGAAGAATTTGGAAGTCGAAAAAACGAAAAGCTATGAAACCAATAGATTGAGCAAACATTGACAAAAGTTAAAGAAAATGAAAAAAAAAAAAACGAAAAATTGTGATCCCAAAAATTTGGTCAAAAGTAAATAAATCTAAATTTTTCGAAAAATTATACGATTTGATTTTGCGAATTTTATTTTTTTATGATTTATTTATAAGTTAAAATATTACTTGCTAAGGTAAGATTTATTTTGGCAAATGCCATATCCTTTAAGAAAATAGAAGGCGGGTGGGCGGGGCTAGTACTTGCTAAGATGGCTTATTTTTGCAAATAACATACCCTCTGAGAAAATAGGGGGCGGGTGGGCGGGGCTAGTACTTGCCAAGATAAGACTTATTTTGGTAAATGACGTATCCTCTGAGAAAATAAGGGGCGGATGGGTGGGGCTAGAACTTGCTAAGATAAGACTAATTTTGTTTCTATTAATCTTGGAAAAATTTGTTAAATTTAAAAGGTGTTAAATTGCAAATTTCCATAGTAACGAGTTAAATTCCTAAAAATTTGATTGGGTGTTTTTTTTTTGTTTCATTCTACTTCTACTCTTTTTTTTTAATTTTTGAAAAATATCCTGGTTATTGTTGGTTATTTAATAAGCAGAACTAAAGTTAACTCAAATTCGTTGTCTGTGTCTCAATCGAAGATGACTCGATTTTTTTTGACGAATTTTCTCGAAAATTTTTGGAAAAGATCCAGTTTTTTTTTTTGCTTTTTCGACGAATCAGAAGAAAAGTGGAGGATTTAAGTGGATTACTAAAAAAAATTACCATTTTAGACACGTTTTAAGTTTCTTGTTGCCGAAATAAGTCTACACATATTAAGAAAAAAGAAGGCAAAATATAGGCCCGCCCACCCGCCCGATCTCCATTGTGATGATTTTTTGTATTCGTCGTGAGCCAAGGGGCGGAGCGTAACTGCAAAATCCTTATTTCTCTACGTGAAATGAAAAACATTTTTGAGTATCGTATTATTCAAAGAATTCTATTTATATTAAGAAAAAATTAAAGCCAAAGATTAAGCCCCACCCGCACCTTCCCTGATCTAAACAGTAATGAAGTTTTCATTCGTTGGCAGACCTAGGGGCGGAGCCTAATTGTAAAATCCATATTTCCTTAAAAAAATTTACCACTTTAAAAGTGTTTTAAGTTTCTAAGAATAAAAAAATCATCACATTTGAGATGGGGTGGGTGGGCGGGGCTTATGTCTTGCCTTTTTTTCTTAGTGTACATAGTATTCTTTGAACAACACATACTCAAAAACATGTTTTTAATTTCTTCCAAAGAAATAGGTATTTTGCGGTTAAGCTCCGCCCTCTTAGTTCACGACGAATAAAAAAAAAATTATCACAATTGAGATAGGGCGGGTGGGCGGGCTTACATCTTGCCTTTTTGTTTTAATATGTGTAATCTTCTTTTCACAACTTGAAACTTAAAATATATTTAAAATGGAAAATTTGTATAAGAGGAAAAATGTATCGATATTTCCTTGCGAAAATGTACCATTTTAACCATGTTTTAAGTTTCTTGCTGCGAAAAGATGGCTATGTATATTAATAAAAAAAGACAAAATATAAGCCCCGCCCACCCGCCCTATCTCAATTCTGATGATTTTTTTATTCGTCGTAAGCCGAGGGGCGCAGCTTAATTGTAAAATTCTTATTATTCTACGAGAAATTACCATGTAAAATATGTTCTTAAGTAAAGAAAACTAAATGTGTTAAGTAAAAAAAAAAAACTATAAATGAGAAGCCTCACCCATCCGTCTCGATCTCAATCGTGACCAATTTTTCATTCGTTGTCAGACCGAGGGGCGGAGCGTAATTGCAAAATCGATATTTCGCTTTACAAATTTATCATTTTAAACATGTTTTAAGGTTCTTGTTGTGAAAAGAAGACTACACGTCGAGAACACTAGACAAACCGTTGTTCACTATGAATTTATGGTACGAGTCAATATTTTAAAACAAAATCTTTTGACACTGTGAACTATTTAGTAGATAATGTTTTTTTTTTTATCAAATATAATATGTTTATTTTATTAATTGGCATTTTTATGCAAAATTGGTAATACTCTTCCAACAGTTCTAGGGCGTGTTTTCCAGAAAAAAATACGATCAAGTAGTTATTAACCGTGTGGTACGGAGCAGAACAGTTATTCACTGAATTGAGCACCCATAGTTGCGTATTGTATAATTATCTGATCATCCTCTTCAACTTAGTGATGTGGTTAATCGTTTATCCATATTTTGAACAATATGGATACCGATCATAACAGAAAAATAAAATTTTTAAATCAAATTTTATAGTTGGCCTTCAAATTGACGAAATCTTAGAACTTAAAGACGTCAGATCAGAAATTTACCAAAGAAAAATATTTCTAGAATGTGTGCCACGAGATGAAGTTATTGATTTGAAATGGACTTTGAAGAGGAGTATTGATTTGAAACAAATTGTTACCAACGTAATTATGTTGAGCTCTTTGCATTATGTCACTGTAGCTATGTTAATAACTCAAGGATAGAAAAGATCCATATTTGAATAAAGGCAAAGCAAAAATAGCTAAAATAAATTCGAAAATAATAAAAAAGACAATGAAACAAGCAACCAACAATTCATAATCTGTCATCCGTCCCGAGAAGATACCTGTATTATCGACACTGCACTCTATTTGCCGTCAATTTTTTGTCAAAACAACAATAGATCAAGATGGCGAGTTCGTCTAGGTAAGACAATTTACAATTGTAATTAATATTGAGTTACGTCGCAGTAAGTAAATTAAATTTTCATAATAATGTCAACATAATATCTATGAATACAAATAAATAATTTTGCAGGTATGACGCCAACAAAGTATGTTGCAGCTCACATCCAGATGCCCCTTTAATTGAAGACTACAGGGCGGGAGACCAAATTTGCTCAGAATGTGGCTTAGTAGTAGGTGACAGGTATTATCACCCTGTCCCTGACCCACAAACCCATTAACCAAATCTAATTCCAGAGTAATTGATGTAGGGTCAGAATGGAGAACCTTCAGTAATGAAAAATCCGGAGTGGATCCATCTCGTGTCGGCGGGCCCGAAAACCCCCTTCTCAACGGATCTGACCTAACCACAATGATAGGCCCAGGCCGAGGTACCCACACCCCCCTTGAACCTCAACCCCAATTACACATTTTTTCAAGGTGACGCATCTTTCGACAGCTTCGGGGTCGCCCGTTACCAAAATCGCAAAACCATGAGCAGTTCAGACCGTGCTTTAATCAACGCATTCCGCGAAATCAACGGAATGGCCGACAGGATCAACTTGCCTAGAACAATAGTGGATCGTGCCAACAATTTATTCAAGCAAGTTCACGATGGCAGGAATTTAAAGGGGCGTTCAAACGACGCCATTGCGTCGGCTTGTCTGTATATAGCTTGTCGCCAAGAAGGAGTTCCTCGAACTTTCAAAGAAATCTGTGCAGTTAGTAAAATCAGCAAACGTGAAATCGGCCGGTGTTTCAAATTGATTCTCAAAGCACTCGAAACTTCTGTTGATCTCATCACCACCGGCGACTTCATGTCGCGGTTTTGTTCAAATCTGGGGTTGCCCAATATGGTGCAACGAGCAGCGACGCATATCGCGCGGAAGGCTGTGGAGTTGGATATAGTGCCGGGAAGGTCACCCATTTCGGTTGCTGCGGCTGCGATTTATATGGCTTCACAGGTACAGTGGGTTGTTTGGGTTGGAAGTGCGAGCACTGTTTTTTGCCGGTTTTGTGTGCTAAAATTGTTGGGGATTTGTTAATAAAAAATATAAAATGATCACCAATAAGTTTGGGTGAGTGTATCATGGCAAAAGTTTAATATAATGAAGAGAAAGTAAAAAAACGGGTGTTTTTAAAATACTTGTTTACATATTTTAAATACAGGGTGTTTCACCCAAAATATCGCACGCCATGTTTTTTTTTAATTCATATTCTTATTTGATCAATGCCATTGAAAAAATACTATACACAAGCCCTATCTGCGTTTCTTCCCACATTAACTGTATGTTAGTATTTGACTTATATTTCAACGTATATTTTTTGAAATTTTATGGCAATACACTTTTTTCGGAAAGAAATAAACAACTAAAAGGTTGCTCAAATGTGAGTGCAGCCCAACAAATCCTGTTTCTTTAAGAGAATTACATATAAAATATTTTTGCGATTTTTGTTTATGATAACCTCTATATTATATACTTGTCAATTTCTGGATTTTGCAATTTTTCGATTAAGAGTTTCTCGAATTTTCAATGTTTCAATTTGCAATTTTTCGTTTGGGTTTTATAATTTTTTTTTCAATTTTTTCAGTTCTTCGTTTCTTCAGTTTTTAGATTTTGCAATTTTTCGATTTAAAATTTCTCGAGTTTTCAGTTTTTAATTTTTCAGTTTTTTATTTCGGTTTTTTATTTTTTCAATTTAAATTTTTTCAGTTTTTCGATTTGCGATTTTTCAATTTGTCGAGTTTTCAATTTTTCGCTTCTTTAATTTTCATTTCTTCAAATTTTTGATTTGCAATTTTTTGTTTCGCCTATTTATTTTCTTTATTTGTACAATGTTTCCATTTTTTAATGTTTTGATGTTATAATTTTTTGTTTTTTCAATTTCAATATTTTCAGTTTTTCGTTTCTTCAATTTTCCGACATGCAACGCTTCGAGTGACATTTTAAAATTTTTCAGTTTTTTTATTTTCCAAGTTTTGGATGTTTCGATTTTTAAATTTTGCAGTTTTCATTTCTTTATTTTCGATTTACAGCTTCTTAGGTTTTGTATTTTCTTTATTTGTTCAACTTTTCGGTTTTTCAATCTTCTGATTTTATTTTTTTTCAACGTGAAAATTTTTCAATTTTTCGTTTCTTCAATTTTTGATTTGCATTTTTTCTAGTTTTTATTTTAAATATGTATTAATAAGTATTATTATTTAAAAAGCACTTTCAGTTTTACGGTTTTGTAATTTTTAGATTTTTGGATTTCTAAATTTTCGATTCGATTTTCTTTCCAATTTTTCAATTCTTTTTTTTTTTTCGATTTTTAGTTTATCAGTGTTTCAATCTTTTTTTTATTCTTTCGTGCTTCGAATTGTATTTTTCCGGTTTTGCAGTTTTTCGTTTTTTCAGTTATTCGATTTTTCAATTTTTTTCTGATTTTTTAACTTTTCGAATGAAAGAAAAAAACCAGGAAAAATTGCAAAAAGTGTAAAATCGAAACATTAAAAATCGAGAAACTGAAAAATCGAAACATTAAAAATAGAGAAACTAAAAATCTAAAAAGTGCAAAATCGAATAATCGGGAAATCCAAAAATTGCAAAATGTAAAAATTGGAAAACCAAGAAATGAGTAATCAAAGATTTGAAAAATTGAATAAAGGAGACATTATAAAATCGAAACAAACCTTAAAAAAATAAAGGAAATGAAGAAACGAAATAATTGTGATATGAAATCTAGAAAATGAAAAAATCGAGAAAATGAAAAATAAAAATCAAGAATTTGAAAAATTTAGGAAACGAAAAATTGAAAAATCTACAAATTAAAAATTGAGAAACTGACAAAATCGAAAAATGAAAAATTTGCAATATCGAAAAATTGCAAAATGAAAAACTGCAAATCGAAAATTTGAAGAAATGAAAAATTGAAAATTTTTCGTTTTGGTTTTTTATTTTCTTTATCTGTACAATGTTTCTATTTTTTAATAAATTTTCATCATTTTTTGTTTTTTCAATTTCAATTTTTCAGTTTTTTGTTTTGCAGTTTTTTGGTTTGCAATTTCACGAGTTTTCAATTTTGCATTTTCTTTGTTTGTTGAATTTTTCGGTTCTTCAATGTCCTGATTTTATAGATTTTTTTCAATGTGAAATTTTTCACTTTTTGGATTTTTCAATTTTTCGTTTCTTCAATTTTTTGCAGTTTTTTTAATTTTCATTTTAAATATGTATTGTGTTAATAATTATTATTAAAAAAAAAAACACTTTCAATTTTACGGTTTTATAATTTTTCTATTTTTCAATTATTGGATTTTAAAATGTTTGCACTAATTCGATTTTTCAGTGTTAAAGTTTTTCGACTTTACACTTTTGACGATTCCATAATTTTTCGATTTTTGGATTTGTAAATTTGCGATTCTTAGTTTATCAGTGTTTCAGTTTTTTGTTTCTTCAGTACTTCGAATTGCATTTTTACAGTTTTTTGGTTTTTCATTTTTTCAGTTTTTCGATTTTCAATTTTTTCAGATTTTTAAGTTTTTGATTTTTCAATGTGTTGATTTTTAAACTTTTCGAATCAAAGAAAAACAAGGAAAAATTGCAAAATTGTAAAATTGAAAAATAAAACATGAAAAAACGAAAAAGTGTAAAATGAAAACTTTAAAAATCTAAAAATTGGAAACCAAGAAATTGAAAGATTGATAAATCGAAAGATTAAAAATCGAGAAACTTAAAAATCTCAAAAGTGCAAAACCGAAAGAACAAAATATTGTAAAATCGAAATATTCAAAATGAAAGAAATCGGATAATCGGAAAATCCAAAAATTGCAAAATTTAAAAACTGGAAAATCCAGGAAATGAATAATCAAAGATTGAAAAATTGAATAAAGGAGAAATTGTAAAATCGAAACAAACCTTAAAAAATAAAGGAAATGAAGAAACGAAATTGTGATAATAAAATCTAGAAAACGAAACATTTGACAAAATGAAAAATTAAAATCAAGAACTTGAAAAATTGAAAAATTTACAAATTAAAAATTGAGAAACTGACAAAATTGAAAAACTGTAAATCGAAAAATTGAAGAAATGAAAAATTGAAAAATTTGGGAGTTGAAAAAACGAAAAACTATGAAACCAATAGATTGGGCAAAAATTGAAAAGAATTAAAGAAAATGAAAAAAAACGAAAAATTGTGATACCAAAAATTTGGTCAAAGGTAAATAAATCCAATTTTTTCGAAAAATTATACGATTTAATTTTGTGAATTTTATTCTTTAATGATATATTCATAAGTTAAAATGGTACTTGCTGATGTAAGATTTATTTTGGCAAATGAGATATCCTTTGGGTAAATAGAGGGCGGGGGGGCGGGACTAGTACTTGCTGAGATAAGCCTTATTTTGGCAAATGACATCCTCTGAGAAAATAAGGGGCGGATGGGCGGGGCTAGGACTTGCTAAGATAAGACTGATTTTGCCTTTATTAATCTTGTAAAAACTTGTTAAACTTAAAAGGTGTTAAATTGCAAATTTCCATAGTAACGAGTTAAATTCCTAAATCTGATTGGGTGTTAATTTTTTTTTTCATTCTACTTCTACTTTTTTTTAATTTTTGGAAAATATCCTGGTTTTTCTTGGTTATTTAATAAGCAGAACTAAAGTTAACTCAAATTCGTTGTCTGTGAAGAATTTTTTTCTCAAACGAAGATGACTCGGTTTTTTTTTTGAAGACTTTTTCGAACATTTTTGGAAAATATCTAGGTTTTTTTGGTTATTCAACGAAGCAGAACTAAAGTTGCATCAGATTCGTAATCTATGAAGAATTTTCCATAAATGTAACCTTTTTCTCATACGTTTTAATTTTTTTTTTTTTTTTGAAAATTTTCTTCGAAAATTATTTCCCTATTTTTCCCCATTATTTCAAGAGGTAGAACAAAAATAACTTGAAATTTGTAATCTACGAAAAACTCTGTGAACTCATCTTTCAGCTCATTGTAAATTGTGTTCATTTTAATTTTTTTTTTCAAAAATTTTTGGAAAATTTCCTGGCTTTTGTTGGTTATTTGAAAAGCAGAAGTAAAATGAATTCAGATTCGTTGTCTATGTCTCCGTAAATTTAAGCTTTTTCTCAAACGAAGATGACTTTTTTTTTGAAGGATTTTTTGAAAATTTTTGGAAAAAATCCAGTTTTTTTGGTTATTCGACGAAGCAAAACTAAAGTTACATCGGATTCGTAATCTATGAAGATTTCTCCATAAATTTAATTTTTTTATGTTACTTCTGCTTTATTTTGTTTTTTTGAAAATTTTTTGTTCATTTTTCTACATTATTTAAAGCGACAGAGAAAAAGTAACTTCAAATTCGTAATCTACGAAAATGTCCCTGCAAACTTTTCCTTTTTCCTAAAAGAAAAGAACTCGTTTTAACTTTTTTTTTGAAAATTTTCGAAAATATGACCATTTTTTCCATTATTTGAATAAATAAACGAAAAGTAGCTTGTTGCAATTTTCATTTTAATTTTAACATTGTTTCGAAATTTATCTTGTTTTTCTTGGTTATTTGACAAAACATTATATATACACATGTATATAATGTTAAAGTAAATGTAAAGAAGCGTGCTACACGCTTGTTAATAGTTCTATATTCCTAAATTTTCGGAAAAATGGAGTGAGTCGTTATTGATTTTAATCATTACCATAAATTGCCTCATTTATTAATTTTTTCAGTCACCCTGTATTAAGACCATATGTAATTCTAAAATCTATTAGTGCATTGATAAACCATAATTATAGGGCCATAATATTTTGCATATTGCAGAGGATTTGTTCGGAAAAACTTTAAGATGACTTCATCAATTTTTTGAAAGGGGATACACGAATAAATTTTGATTGACGATTTACCATGATTACGATATCCTTAAAACGTTTGCAAGATTTCAGTTGTTATACAATTTTGATTTTTTTTTCCAAAAATCTGCGTATTCAAAGGAAAAACTGAACACGGATTCATAAACCACAGAAGTATATTATCTTATGAACTTAAAAAAATATTTACCAATGTAGATTTTGGAGATGAAGTCATCCTATTATTGGTAAAGATGTTTTACCATCTACATTATATTCCTAATAATCAAATTTGACAACAATCCAGTAGTTTCGGAGATTGTCTGTCTAATAAAAATTCGGACCGACGGCAGACAGACAGACGGAAACGGGATACCTATTTTTTCGTACTCTGGGGGTCAGGAAACGTCGAGAAAACATTTCATAAGATGCAGTTTTTGAAAGTACTAGGAAATTCTAGAAAAATGTAATGTAGGACTTGCTTACGGGACTTTAAAAATGTCATTTGTCTATATTTAAAAGGGAATTATCAAACATAATTGTACAATTGTACAATAATGAAGAAAGAAATGACAGAACATACAGGGTGAATCAAAAATGTAAGCAAAGAAATAGGTAAACTCATAAATGACACCGAAAATGTCAACAAACTGTCAACGTGTTTAAACAGCTACGCTTTCATCTTTGAGGATTAAACTCACTAATTATAATTATTTTCAACACCATAGTACCAATTAAAATTTTGACGTTATGGTATACCTGTACATAAATAAGTAAATAAATAAATCAAGTAGTCACTGTTTATGTAACTGTAATAAAAAATTATAAACACCATGTTCATGGACGATCTTAAACTTGAGTTTTGTGATGGAAGTTGAAAATATTTTCTTTTTTCATACATCTGGTGTTAATGGTTGCTAGAACAACGTTGCCATAAAAGGGAGTTCAGTATATCATTTGTGCTTTTACAAAAAATATTGATTTATTATTATTATTATTAGACGTTATTTTTTCAGAACTATTTAAGACGCCTTAGAAATTTAAATGTTATTAATTTTTTTTTGCATACGCTTGTTTAACTTCGTGTCAAATTTAATAGCCACAATTCAATTATGATATTAAAAAAGTTTAATAGTGCGAAGTATGACGAAAAAAGTTAATTTAAACTCTATCAAATCGTAAAAGTACATTACGTTTAATTATTTTGAATTAATTAATTTTAATTACCTTATAGTGACCTTGTTAGCTGTGATATAAGATAATTATGTAAATAAAGGGTGCAGCTCAACGTCACGAACTGGGTTGATAGTGTGACGAAAAAAAAATAACATGAGAAAATGAAGTTTGTCAAAAATATCTGTTGAACTTATTTAATTTATTACAAAAGTACTTTTTTTTATATTACTCAGAACGTTTTTATTAAGTTGTGCACGCTACTAACTCTGAAAAATGAAAATACACTATGATTTTGTGGGTTGGCGATTTACTGAATGGATTTTCAGGCGTCAGAGGACAAAAGGAGCCAGAAAGAAATCGGTGACATCGCCGGAGTGGCCGACGTCACCATCAGACAGTCGTACAAACTCATGTACCCCCACGCAGTCAGCTTATTCCCTGAAGATTTCAAATTCGCAACTCCTATCGACCAATTACCGCAGATGTAATTTTAGGGTATTGTTACGGTTCTTGTTTTGTTATAAATTTTTATCGTGCACGCCGTAGGTGTTGCAAGTAAATATTTTTTTAAGGTTTATACAATACACGTTAAGTAGGCTCAATTAAAATTTTATAAAATAAAAAAATCTAGCACTGCAATGTTTAGTATAATTTGTCACCCAAGTGGGATATCATCTCGTTGATCTCTTGTACTGCATCCATGTCGATTTCCGCTTCGTCTGAAGATTCGCTGACGTCGGATTGTTGTTCCTCTTCTTCTTCCGCAACATCTAACCGCTCTGGCATTGAGCTCTGGATGATTTCACCGACTGTGTATTCGTCGTTTTCTTCGTCACTGGACAGACTGATCAGTTCTATGTCTTGTTCAGGGTCGATTTCCCTCGGTATTTTACTATACTGAAAACCTACATTCCTGTATATACCTTTTTTAATGTTGCTCAACATTTGGTTATAGTAGTCTAAGTGAGACCCACTATCTTTGCTCTCAGTCTCTTTTGAAACCTTCTCTTGTAGTATTTTCTTATCCTCAAGCAACTCTTTTTGAACCGCTTCTAGCACGTGATCATTCACAATACGCCGACAGTGCTCAATAAAGTTATCCGGGAGAAATCCGTTTTTCGCATGGCAAAAACCTCCACTACTCTCCGGTAACCTAGAAATCATATCTTGGATTTCCGGAATCAGCAAGTCACAAAACTGATAGAACATCTGCCTAGCTGGTGGTAGCGTCAGAGGTCTCAAAACGTAGTAGCGTTCGTCCAGTTCCATCTTCGGTCTGGCGGACATGTCGTACTTAAGAGAGACTTTCTTTGTTTGATTGGGGGCTAGAAATATCGAGGTTTTGCTGGCGTAGCTCCTCTTCGCGCTGACCTTTAGTTTGCTGCTTTCTGCGAATGAAAGTTTCGATGTGGGGTTTGTGAAAGGTCATAGTGAAGTACGTACCTGCGGTTCTTATTCTGTAATCCAGGGTTTGGTAAATGCGGGCTTTTGGGTCTTTTCGGGGATCGTAGCCGTACTTGACCCAGGTGATTCTCCACGGACCGTTGGTGAAATAGTAGGCAACAATGGGGAGAATTATTCTGGAATGTTCATCTGTGAGACCGGTGATGTGGCGGATGGCGGCTTTGGTCCAGATTGGTCTCTCTTCAAACAGCTATTAGTGAGAAGGTAACATTGTAATTTCAAACTACATCAAAGCAGAAACGTAATTAACACTCATATCGCTGTGGTGACCGAATTTAAATCAAAGTTTTCGCGCTGAAATTAATTAACAGCGGCGCGAAATCACACTTGAATAATTTGAATTTGAAAAAAAAAAAAAAATCAATCACAAAAAAAATCGTTAAACATAGGCAACCTGGTGCACGGAAACGCTTGCTTGGTAGTCGGACAATTAATAGCGCTAATGGATTTTAGTTAGAGGGTTGGTAGAGACAGAATCTGCATGGCGGAGGGTTGGTCTGAATGTACTTGTGTGAGTGTAAACACGTGGTAAGAGCTAGGTTTAAATTAGTTGGTTTGGTAGTTAATAAAATGGGAGGAAGCCTTTGTTTAACGACAATCAATCGTAGCCAACGTCCCTCAGGTGTCCCCAACCCGCGCGGTTAATCCTTGCGGCCTTTTAATCGAAAACTTGCGGACTTCCGTTCAACGCGAAACACGTGCTGTAAATTTGTTTCATTGTTTGTATATTCACCAATCAAGTTAGTTTTTCTTAATCGTCAGCTAGTGTAAACACAATTTAACAATCAGGATTATTTAAATAAACCACGTGCTAGAAGATTTCATGAAATTCACTTAGTCAGGAAAACACCTTGTTGTTTAATTACGAATAAGTTTCTGGATGCATATACGTAAGTGTTACATTATAACACTTCTTAATTCTTCACACAAGATTGCGAATAGTTCATTTACGGCAGTTAAATAAGTTCATTATACTGCGAACTGGCGGGGGTTATGATAATTTCTTCACTTGGGTGGTTATCATCGTTATCATGATTAATTCATCGAGGCAATTCCTCGCAACGATTTTAAAATTTACATCACCGAGACGCTTTCTCCCTCGGAGCGATGATTGGATATTTTTGTGTTTGTTTATTATGTGTTTTGTTGGGTTAACCAGTTCGCGGTATTTTAAACTCTCAAAGTAAATTGTTTTTTTGAAGTAACCAATCACTTAGATCATGATTTAATTTGACATAACGTAAACTCTTTCTTTGAACCGTTGATAAAGTGTGGCAAATATTAATCTCATGTAAATTTTGTTAACTCTGCAATTTTCCACCTCATATAATATTTTTCAATCTCACAGTTTTAACTTCAGTAATTTTATTTGTTGTATAATTTTAATTGAACGTAAATTTCATGTTCTACAGTTTTAACCTCACATAATATTTATATTTGTACAAGTTTATTTCACACCTGATCTTTTGTTTCATAAATCCTTGCTAAGTTTTGTTTTGTAAATAGGACTTTGTTGATGAATGCTTCTATCATATAAATTGTTTGATGTCCCATTTTTAATCTCACATAAGAATTATTTGTTGTTTAAATTTTCACAAGATTGTATGGCGAATTTAAATGTTGTTTATTGCTTGTTGAAACTTTGACACTTGTTTAGTTGTTGTTAATATCAGAGTTATAAGAGATTGAATATTTAAAAATGGAATTGAGGTTAAATAACACAGAAAACGTGGCAGAAGTGAAGTTCGGTTCCTAGTCGAGCTGGCGAGATTGAGCGCGTCACCTGCACAAGTCCGCGGGTTTGTATAAAGTCAGGGGGCGATCACCGGTGTTGTAACGCTGTCGGCTTCGTGCTAGCCGAGACGCAACTACGGATCTGCGATCGTAGCGGCCTAGTTTCCCAGGGCACGTTCGTAATGGAGATATGCGTGCGGGTAGGCCTTGTGATAGATAGAATCACCGTCGTGGAGGGAGAACAGCCCCAGACCGGTAGCCCCAAACTACGCTTATGCTAGAATGCCCAGGGGTACTCTTGTTGTGCTCCTGTTAACTGCCGTAACTTTAAAAATCTGCCGCCACACGCCCGTAATAACTTGTGTATTTGCATCCAGTTACTTAAGTCGGATTTTGCTTTGTTTTTATTAAATTTGTGATATTTAAATATTTGCATTGATTCCAAACAGATGTACAGAATTTTGCGTTTGTTCGTTTTTCATATGTGTATGTCTGTCAGTTCGCAAGTGTCCCTTTTTTTTTATATGTCTTAAGATGTTTGAAATGTAATATGTCCGGGAATAAAACAAAAGGGGGTTTTTGCGCTGAGGAGTAAATCTTCGCAGCGTCTTTCCTCCTGCGAGGGGGTGCCGTGCTCCCCCTCTAAAACAATTTTGTCTATTATTTCTTGCGCTCTCGAATCACACGCAGTGTATGCACTTGTATGAAAGAACGTCTTCCCGCCACATTTCAAGAAAAAAAAAAAAAACACAACGTAGGTTCCCATTTGTTAGACGATCACAGCGAAGGCCAAATTTTGAATTTTTGAATTTTTCGCGGGCCTTTCAAACTTCTTCAAGGTCAATTTAAACGAGGGAAGTTTAAAGTATTCTAAGTGTGCTCCTTCAAGAAGGTACTTTTTTTTGAAACACAGTGTATAGAGCCGCACATGGAGGCGTTTTGGTCCATTGTGTCCCCTCATAATATCGAGTCCTAAAAGAGTCCTGTGTCTTGAATAAAGCCCAGGACACAATTTACAGGCTCATCTTAAATAAATATCATGTGATTTGAAAAAAGCTTTTATCGGAGTTCTAGCCCGAGCGTTGGCCCTTTCATTTTCTTTAAGGCCCATGTGTCCAGGTAGATAGATGAGCACAACTTTTTTATTTTACAAACGACAAAACCCTCACTGAAGTCTCGGCTATTTGTGAAAGTGCAGATTCGCCTTCTGCATACATTTTGTCACACATTCAATCAAAGCAAACATTTCTACTTGAAAGACACTGGTATGTTTACCCAATAGTATCGAGACATTGATATTTGCCCCACTTGAGTATACGCTGGACTCCGATCCCTTTCCGGACACCGAACCTTCAACATAAGAGGTAATGCCTTGAGTCATGACTTCGGTATGTCCCTTCCATTCTCCTCGTGAAGGTATCAGTACTTTCTTGAGTAATCTGGTATTACAACGGGAATTTTGCTATCATCCTCCATCCTGAAGATGGAGTTGGTTTCCATTAGCGAGAACCGACTCAGTAGACTTCCCACCGTGGAAGCATGTTGCCCAGTAACTCATCCCGTCCTCCCGAACAAGTCCGACAATCTCTTAGCCTCGGTATACGTAGTACGCCTAGGTTTAGGGATAAAGACAGCTCTTACTTCCCTCTAGTCAATGGGTACCCAGCCCAGAATGGGGCAACCTCTTGAAAAATGCAATAGTAATTTAATAGAGAGTCTCTTTTGTAATAGACCTCGAAATATATCATCCATGCTCACTGATTTATAATAAATGGAGTAATTTTACGTGCAAGTTGCTAGACCTCTCGAGAAGTAGTGTGATTTGTGTTTTCTGCACATGTTCGTTTCACTCTCGTGAATTCGGGAAGTGCGTACTTGATATGAGGCTCAAAGTGTCTTCCTTGAGCACTGTGAAGCTTATTAGACGCGTCCTTACTGAAAACCTTCTGAAGTCTTGCTGTTTGCGGAAGATTATATACCTTCCTACACACGTCCTTCCATTTATGTGTTGTGCATTTTTTTTAGCCCTCTTATACAGCTGCCAAGGATTGGGTGATTTGTCAGGTTGAACCCTATTGTAGAACTTCTTCCTTGCAGTGGGTCTCAGCCTACTGAGGTGAAAGTTCTATCATGGGGCACATGCAAATCCTGGAAGTAAAGAGCTGCCGCCTTGTTTGCCTGAAGATTTTAAGGTTTCAAGGTTTCCCCGAAGGAACAACCACCATTAAGAAACTTTTCACTATCCCTCGAGTCCAACACCAATGTGGGCCAACACCTTGGTCAAGTAGGTACTGGTAAATCTTCGCCACAGGGGCTTTGCCTTGCAAGACTCCTGAAGTAAGTGAGAAGAGCGAGTAACTCAGTGGTGGTTGCTGAACTGCACAACTGGTGAGTTAACTCGCTCTAGTCATCATACTACCTAAATAACTCCCTAATGACGCAGGAGAGTTTTACCAGTACTCAAATGCTCCGCCTCGGGATTATAAATATAAAACTTCTCTTCCATGGGTTCCACCTACACGGCGCCTTCCTTTAGAGGTTCCACTGTCTCCTTGCCTGCCATACGGGACAGGTTAACTCACAACTAACCTTCAAAACCTGAGTCAATCCAGTTCAAAGGACTGAACCTGGGTGCACACTATCAGCTCGACAGACCAGTCGTGGGAGTCCCTACCACTTCATACCTGTCTCGGGCTATTCAGAAAGGACTCCCTGGCTTTCAGGTACCGGTGGGACTGACTCGTGGAGGGCTAGGATACAAATATCCCCCTGCCAGCGCAACCCATTGGTTCCCTTTCACTCCTAGGCGCCCCAGAGCCTCTCACCAGTTAAATAATAAACGGTAAAAGTACTCGTTACCAAATTGTCAGTCCTACTATGAGAAACTGAAGGCTTTAGTTGGCTTCAGCCAGAGATCAGATTTGTAAAAACAACCTGTTCCACGGGTAGGTGGGAGTTGACATAAAGCAAAAGAGGCTGGGTGTTCGCTTCTTTGTTCCATAATATAAAAAAAATAAAGTTCCATATTATAAAGTACGTCTCCCATGCGGAAATAACGCTTACTATTACCGGTTTCCCGGTCCCGAAGGAGCCAGGTTACCATGGGCCACACGTTACGTTTTGGAAATTCTTCTTGTAAAACTAGACAATGGTCTTATGTCTCAAGATGCCATTTCTGCCGCTTCTTTTACATTTCGGACTGTAATAAGCAACCCCAAGACCCTTTTTGCGAGAGTCTTCCCGGTTTGTGGCTCTTGGATCTCTATCCTCCCGTTCCGACTTTGATTCTTTTGAAAGCTAAAATAAGATGTATCGAATATCCGATGAACTCGGTTCTGTCGACACATGCTAGTCTTTGATTTCATGAGCCAGCTCTAATGATTTAATAAGCTCTTCCTTCAGTTTAGTGGCGAAGGTAGGTAGGTAATTCAGGAGAGCCCCCGTTTAGAATTGATACCAAAACTCCCACTTCCCACTGTGTGGTAAATTAACATCGCATCCCGTCATGAGAGGTCATACCTCAGCCTTGCTAAACCTGAGTTCAGGATGGCATTACAGAAGAGTCATACACGGTAAATTGGCAGAACACTCTATTGACAAGGACAACCTCCAAATCACTAAAGCACAGGTGTTCCAAAGGAAGGTTCTGTACCCGTTTGGATAAGTAGAGGTATGTCCCGGGTTTACATTCGATAGAATCAGCAATAACTGACCCTTTCTGTAAACATAGGTCTCTTGGCTAGCCATCCTGATATTCAGGATTTCTGAAGAGGTCAAATGTCTACCTCAGATCCTCCTTCCGTCTTTCTGTCTACCCAGCAACCTTAAGTTTCTTACTCCTTGTGTCTGTTCCATTGATGACCCAACTAGGGGCCCAAAATTCTGGGCTTCTAAGAGCCTTAGAGTTACCGCGGGAGCCACGAGTAGTCGCTGGACAAGTGTCAAGGTTCGGATAGTGCATACCGCAGAGTGAGATCTTCTAACTACTAACGAGCCCCAAGCAGCTTGGGGTTCCTCACCCTCACACTTTACCTGGGTTACCCCCTGGCGGAATCTTCCATTAAGAAAGTGAGGCTCACACCCATATCTGGAGAACTCTCTCTTGAATGATGATTCAGTGTGCGTTTTTGCCCTTTTCGCACTGTGCGTGACACCGGGCCCTGACAGCTATTCCGCGTGCCTTTCGGGCGCGCCTTTTTTCGGCTTCGCTACGGTTTTCACCCTTAACTGACAGTTGTTTCACGTCTGCGGCCAATTGCGAGCTTGTGTTCCCACTCAAGTTAGATCATTTGATTTGGTATCCATAAGATGTGACTGGCTTTGACACATTTTCGAAATTGAGCTAGAGATTTTCTTGTAGATTTCGACATCCAGAATTAATTTTCAGCCTTATTTTTTTGGAAATTCTTATCATTTTTCCAGTATCGCCAATTGAAATATGGCAATTTTTACATTTTTTTTAAGTGCACGAAATAAGAAATAAACCTGATAGCAAATAGTATACTAAAAAAGTTTCGACTAGCGCTTTTTTTTTCTCTTTTCACATCCTAGATTCGATTAGTTTTCATTGTTTTTCCACAGAACATAATTAGTACCGCCCACCCACCCCATCTCCATTTCAGTGACTGATGTCTGCCCTGAATGAAATGAATGATCTTATACTAAACAAAAATAAAATTAATCCTTAGAATGGGAAGAGTGGGGATGGGCGGGACTAGTACTTGCTAAGATAAAACTGATTTTGGCAAATGACATTTCTTCCAAGAAAATTGAGGGCGGGTGGGCGGGGTGCCTTTTTTTCTTTTTTCATATCCTAGATTCTATTAGTTTTCATTCTCTTTCCATAGAAGGACATAATTAGCCCCGCCCACCCACCCTATCTCCATTTCAGTGATTGATGTCTGCCCTGAATGAAATGAATGATCTTATACTAAACAAAAATAAAATTAGTCCTTAGAATGGGAAGAGTGGGGATGGGCGGGACTTGTACTTGCTAAGATAAAACTGATTTTGGCAAATGACATTTCCTCCAAGAAAATTGAGGGCGGGTGGGCGGGGCGCCTTTTTTTCTCTTTTCATATTCTAGATTCTATTAGTTTTCATTCTCTTTCAACAGAAGGTTATAATTAGCCCCGCCCACCCACCCTATCTCCATTTCAGTGATTGATGTCTGCTCTGAATGAAATGAATAATATTTTACTCAACAGGAATAAAATTAATTTTCGGCCTTGTTTTTTGTTGCAGAAGGGATACACTACATTTGGAAATCCCTTTGTATGTAAACGGTCCAATAACGCAGGTCCAGAGTATCAATTTGCCATAAACATATGTACTTTTCATGTCTTTAATATAAATTAGAAAAAGCAAAGGTGTTGCAAGACAGCCTCGTGGGGTACCCAGATTTATAGATCGATAATTACTCCCTATTGCGATCTACTATTTAAATAAGAAAATACTAAACTTAGGGCAATTAAGCCACACTTATGACATGCTGTAAACCACCTAAATACAGGGTTTCTATAAATGACTGTAGGGTCGAAGTAGGTCATGGAAACGTGCCGCTTATCACTTTATATGAACTTTACTAAATGCCCAAGGACTTACCACAAATACCACACTCTATAACTAGTTGTCTAAATTTATTGTGGTTAAACATCACAATAAATGTTGAAATTGTTCATCATTTTATTCAAGGTTCAGTCTCTTTTAATTTCATAAATGTTCATCCTTTCGTCAATATTTTGGACCCTTGGTTGGTATAAAAACTCTGTATAAATTTTTATAAGAATCACCATTATACTTCTGTAACTTGTTTTTTATATATCTGGATACAAATCCCCATGGGTTGATTAAGAAGGTGGGTTAAAGTATAAATAATAACATTTCGCAAACAGTTAATAATATTAGTACTGTAGCATCCCGTTTTGAAATTAAATTTAGCGGCACAAAAAAAAAACGCGAAACCGCCTTTGAAAAATTTAAAACACGTGTCAGAAATTCTCTGATTCAGGCCTAATATTTTAATAAAATTTTTTTAAAGGTTGGATGGTTTTTCCTAAGTTATTATTTTGATTTAATAACTTCTCATTCGAGATTTTTGAAATAGTAAATTGTATAATTCAAGACTTATTTTTAAATGTTGATCCGTTTTGAAAGTGAACAACAGTTGGCAACATATTTAAAATTTAATGATGGCATACCTCACTGTCAAATTGACATTTATGTCACCAAGTCGGTAGCTGCCATCTTCTCAACATGTTTGTTGTTAGGCGCGCTCGTGTCAAAACTGATAACTCTAAAGTAACAAATTAGCATTGCTGCCAATAATTCAGAATTACCAACACAAAAATTTGTAGATGTTTTCCTTCAAGTGATTTATCAGGTTCTATATTGCTCGTGGATGATTATTATTATTATCATCACAAATAAAATTATCTTACAGTTGTTTTTTGAGATCAGGTGAATTTGAACCTTAAGGCACTGTATGACATTGGAAAGAACAATAACCTTATACTCATCAGAGAAAGTAAAATCGTCGACCTGTCTACCTTGATATATTATGGTACTTCTCAAGGATCAGTATTGGGTACCATTTCTTTTATTATTTATATCAATGATAGTGAAATAGTAATTTACGCAACTAGTTCGGGATAGCCTGCTTCCCGCATGAACGCTTGTTTGCGGCACGACCGAAGGGAGTGACGCATTTGCGTGAATGCGGGAAGCAGGCTCACGAACGTGTTGTGTACAATATTTTTTGCAACGAATACATCTTTAAACTTAAGAGATTAACTGTGAGTTATTTATAAACAACGGCATTGACAGCGCCGTCAACACGTCACAATGTTGACACTACCCGAGTATTTTAAGGTTACCATGACAACGGAAAGTTAAAATGCACGTGTGCGGGAAGTTCGAACTCCCGCACCCTGGTGAATGCGCGAAAGCCATCAAAAAAGGTCATGAGTGCAAAAATATTATTATTGATGTTAAACTTAATATCTTGATCATGGTCAGCTCATTACTAACTTTAACACACGTAACAATAGCATTTTTCTACTTTCACTGAAAACTGGTTTCAATGTGATAAAATGAAGTTTCAATTTCCATTTTTTAGCCAATAATATAAAGCAAAACCAAAAAATACAGTTCAAAGACAAGTGTTCAAGAAGGAAAATAATGAAACATACTACATGAAGAGACTCACCTGTTTGATCTTGGAGACACCATTCTCCAAATTCCGGTGTTTCAACATCCTAACAGCGCTCTCCAGGGGCTTTGTAGGTATCTCCTTATCCTTAAAAGCTACAAAAATTGATATCTGCTGCCTCGCCTTGCGAAATATCCTGCAAACATTTTTCTGTTGCTTTGGATTTAACTTGACAGGATTTGTCCCCCCTTTCAAGTTTAATTTTGGTTCATTTTTATCACTGTTGTCTACATGTTGCTTGGTTTGGGCGCTGTCATGGTGTGAGAAGTTCACAGGTAGCAAAAACTGATCCATATTCTTGGCACCGTCAGTTCTAGAAGAAAACGTCACACAAATATATTTATATTTATAAAATCACCTACTCCAGCCAGTCAATATTGGGCAAATGAGAGGGTAGAATCTTTTCATAGATGTTCTCAGTTGTGGATGATTTTGTTTCAGGATATTTGGCAACCAGTGGCAAATATTGAAAGTCACAGAGTCCTAAAACACACAGTAAATGTAAAATGATACTAAATTCAACAGCTACTTACGATTAAAGGTGAAATTTATCACAGACACTCCCTCGATATCATATTCATACTTAATATTTTCTTGACTAGCGTTATCGCTCTGTGCTTCAACTGGTGCTGGTTTTTTCACTTTAATCAAAATTCCCGGTTTAAAATCTTTTTCACCGAAACAACCTTTATTGTACTTATTTCTGTTATGAAAATTAAGCTGTAGTTTACGACCATGTTCGGCTACGCTCTGTAATTGTACAATAGTAACGTTGTATTACATTTAGATAACTTACTTCTTCTATATCATGTATTCCTCCCAAAGTTTCGATCGCTCGGTCCACGTTCTTCACTTCTCCGGGGTATTCTACACGTACCAGATGTTTGTTAATTTGGACAATGTGTTTCGGATCAAGCTCATTTTCGGCTTTTTTCTTGTTTTTTGCAAACCAGTTGCCGGTGTTTTTGTCCTCTTTGTTGAAATGTAGTTTCGGCAATTTCGTTTGGTTACGTGAATTATCTTTCACGAAACTTGTGGATGGCGATTCGGTATCTACTTCCATTTTTTGCTGTTCTTTAAAAACTAAAAACGTTATTTAATCAATTCTAAACACGAATGTCACACATTAAGGTTATATTTTGATTAGTGACATTTAAAAAGTGAGGTTAAAAAGCATGTTATTAAAATTTATATTAAGGAGCATTTACACGAAACACCGTACTTAAAGGGCTGTTCACGCTGATTTGGATTCTGGAAATCAGCTTTAAATTTAATTAAAATAATATAAAAAGGTCCACAAATAATCAAATCACGATTTTTTTCTAAAGCAAAGATAAGGGATAGGAAATATGTAATGATTTGAAAATTACCAACAAGTTTTTTGGAGTGTATTTAATTTATTATTTGATTATTTAATATTTCTGTACCAAATACAAAGTCTATAATTTTGTAGATGTTATAAAGATTCTTCAAGATAATACTGATGTGATTTTAAGAAATTAATTAAATTTATAAACACAATTTGATGGAATGCGTTTTCATTTTTTACCAAACATGAACAAAATAGTCAAGACAACAAAAAAAAAAATGTCAGAAGATATCTAACGAAATCTTTACATAAAATAAATTTAAACTACACCTGAGTATCTCTTGAAGGTTCAATTACTCTTCTTGACGTCGTTAAATATTTCTAAAAGTATTATCATGAAACACAAGCCAATAGATTTCAGAACAAAATGCATGCTTTGCGTTCATGAATGCAAGAAACTGAAATAATATCATTTCATGTTTCCAATACTTTATTGTACATAAAAATAACGTTACACTAGACAGGCTTTTGTGGAAACGCATATGAACACGTACTTTTAATATTCGCCCCTACTACTCAATGGACTTCATAGGATTACATTCGGGAATGTACACCTAGTAAAATTTATTTTCCTTTACATCTTACAACCTACCCCAGATTTTTCATACTCTGTATATACAAAACCTCTGGGGCAACCTACCCACGAAATGGGCACTTCAAACTTTAAAAAACAACTTTAATTACAACTATGACTGGGCACTCAACCTCTGACTAATATTCTCTATCCTAATCTTAAGGTTTTGTATAACATCTTCTGCCAACTCTTCCACATTAGTATATCTACATTTTTGAAAATTAAAAATATCAACTAAAAACCCCATGACTTGGTCCTTAAAATATACACAAGTATCCCTGAGTAGTTCGTCGGGTCCCAAAAACCCCCAAGCCAGCAGCGGCGAAAGCTGCTCCGAAATGGTATAAAAATGCGCCATGAACCCAGTCGGAAACTTCAGCATCCGTCGTTTCGCTTTCAAAACCGACCAAACGGCCGTTGTCAACGCTGTTTCCTTAAAACCGTTCGACAACCATCGGTTCTGTACCACGGCAGTGACTGAGGACGGCGGCGAGTCCAAATCTTCGAAGGCGTCCATGAGGATGTAGTCCATCACCACGTCATAAAAGGTCAGAGCTTTTACTCCCTTCATGCTCAGTTCTTCTTCGACCTCGCGCCAGTTGTTGCCCTCCTGGATGTACTTCAGCATTTCTTCGTAACCGATGAGGAAGTCCTTGGGGTCTCTGTCCGCATAGAGCAACAGATCGGCCAGGATTTGGCGGCCGGCGTCGGCGAACCAGATGTAGTTGGTTCTGTCCCTGAGAATATTCTGGAAAGCTAGACGTAGACAGTGTAGTTTGCCGAGATATTCTCCGTCCGAACCGCACTTGACGAGTTCCGTTCTGAGGGTCCTGCAGGGAATTCCGCCGTTCTCGAGGTGTCGAAGGGCGGTTTGGTATAGAGGAAATTGCTCTAGGTCAGGGAAGTAGTCAGCGAATTCCTCGAATTCCCGTAAGTCGGCTACCTGTAACAGAGAATTTTCGTGTAAAATATGTGAAACTGTCGAGGACAAAGTAAACCGCAAAGTCAACAGTATGAAAAAAAACATCGTCTAAACGGCTGTGGAATTAATTTTTAAACCTCTGTGAGAATATTGTTTTTATGAATCACCCACATTGTCTTTATGTCTGAACAAGGAAAAGCAAATTAATCGAGAAGCTTTAAATCTGGAGACCTTGGAGGAAAATATTCTATCGAACGTTCATGAAAGAATGCATGCAACAGTTCCATTGTTTCACGAATTTTGTGGGCGGTGGCATTATCTTGCTGAAAATATCCGTCCTTCAATTATTCATCATGCAGCTGGTCAATGAGGGGTTGCTACAAATTGTTTTGGTACCTTTCAGCATTCATTGTTTCGTTGAAAAATATTGCATTGTGTACCTACACTTAATCTGTCATGACTCAGGAGTCGGCCGCCATTTTGAAAATAAAGATCTAATGAGGTTTCTGATTTATCTTTGCAATCGTGAATCTGATAATTTGTTTTATTCTTTTAGTTTATATCATAATAGAGTTATTTACAACCGTTGTTTATAACGAAAAAAATAAAAAAATTGATTTTGTGAATTCTATTTTTTATGATAACCACGTATATCAATTTGGATAAATACACTGTAATAATAATAATAATAATAGTATCTAATTTTCAAATTTTCGGGAAATGCAGTGAATTGTTGTTGATTTAATGAATAAAATAAACTGAATTATTCATAAATTTTTCGAGTCACCCTGTATAAGCGTTTCTAAAAAATAATACAATGATAAATCACAAGTATTGTCTCATCATATTTTGCACATTTTATGTAGGATTTATTGGGCCAAATTTTGAGATGACGTCATCAATTTTTTTGGCGGATAAACAGATATATTCCGCAAAACTACGAGAATCGAAAAATTAAACAATCGCAATATTGATAAATCGAGAAATTGAAAAATCAAAAATTTAAAAAATAGAAAAATTGAAAAACCGAAAAATCGAAATTCGAAAAGTCCAAAAATCGAAAAAATAAAATATCTAAAAATTTTAAATTCTAGAAATTGAAAACTTGAAAAATGAAGAAATCTAATACTCGAAAAGTGGAAAAATTTTAAAAATCGACAAAGATGTCAAGAAATCGAAACATCAAAAAATCATAGAATTGAAAAACTGAAAAATTGAAAAATTAAAACATAAAAAAAATGAAAAATCGAAAAATTGAAAAATCGAGAAATCGAAACAAAAAAATTGCAAAATTGAAAAATTCAAAAATCGAAAAAATGAAAAAGCGAAAATTTGAAAAATCGACACATTGAAAAATCAAGAAGTCGAAAAATCGAAAAACCGAGAAATAGAGAAACAAAAATCCAAATTTAAAAAATTGAAAAATTGGAAAATCGGAAATTTGAAAAATCGAAAAATTGATGAATGGAGAAATTTATTTTATTTCATTATTTATTTCAATATAGTGCCCAATGGACTTAAAGCCCAATAGCAGGATAAGATTATAATACATACATAAATAAAAATACAATATTACAAAACGAAAATTGAAAAATTTCAAAACTGAAGTGACATTGGGAAATCGAAAAACTGAAAATCGAAACATAAAAATTGGAAAATCGGAAAGTTGGGTAGTCGAAAAATCGAAAAAATGAGAAATCTAAATCGAACAATTAAATTAAAAAAATGGATAAATTCAAAAATTTTAAAATAGAAAAATCAAAAATTTTAAAAATTGAAAAACAGAAAAATCTGAAACTGAGAAGTCGAAAAATGTAAAGATTGAGAAATCGAAACATCGAAACACTTAAAAATCTACACTATAAAAACCGAAAAATTAAAAAATCGAAAAGTTGAAAAATAGAAAAATTAAAGAATTGAATGATTGAAAAATTCTAAAACTGAAATTCCGAAATATTGAAAAATCGAGAAATCGAAAAGTCGAAAAATCAAAAATTAAAAGAAGAATTGAAAAACTGAAAAATCAAAACATTCAAAAGTCTAGAAGTCTAGAAATGGTAAAATAAAAAATCGATTAATCGAGTAATTGAGATATCGAAAAGACGAAAAATTGAAAAATCGTAAAACCGAAACATCGGAAAATTGAGCCATCGGAAAATTAAAAAATCGATAATTTGAAAAATTGCAGAATTGAGAAAGTGCAGAATCGAAAAATTGAGTAATCGAAAAACTAAAAAATGGAAAACTTGAACAATCGAGACATCGAAAAATTAATAAGTCGAAAAATCGAAAAACCGAGAAATGGAGAAAACGGAAATCCAGAATTTAAAAATCGGAAATTTAAAAAATCGAAAAACTTATAAATCGAGAAATTTAAAAAAACCAAAACTAAAATGACAAAAAATTGGAAAATCGAAAAACTGTAAATCAAAACAACCAAAAATTGAAAAATCGAAGAATTGGGAAGTCGAAAAATCGAAAAATTGAAAAATCTAAACGGTCCAAATTGGAAAAATCAAAAAGTCAATAATCGACAAATTTATTTAAATAAATTGATAAATCGAAAAATCAAGAATTGAAAAACAGAAAAATCTGAAACTGAAAACTCGAAAAATCTAAAGATCGAGAAAACGAAACATCAAAACACTGAAAAATCTAAAATATAAAAACTGAAAAATTAAAAAATCGAAAAGTTGAAAAATCCCAAAATTGATATCTAGAAATATTGAAAAATCGAGAAATCGAAAAGTCGAAAAATCGAAAATTAAAAAAAAGAATTAAAAAACTGAAACATCAAAACATTGGAAAGTCTAGAAGTCGAGAAATGGAAAAATAAAAAAATCGATTAATCGAGAAAGTGAGATATTGAAAAGTTGAAACATTGAAAACTCGACAAATTGAAAAATCGAAAAATTGAAAAATCGTAAAACCGAAACATCGGAAAATTGAGTCATCGAAAAATTAAAAAATCGATAATTTGAAAATTTGCAGAATTGAGAAAGTGAAGAATCAAAAAATTGAGTAATCGAAAAACTGAAAAATGGAGAAAACGGAAATCCAAAATTTAAAAATCGGAAATTTAAAATATCGAAAAACTGATAAATCGTGAAATTGAAAAATTCCAAAACTGAAATGACGAAAAATTGGGAAATCGAAAAACTGAAAATCAAAATAACCAAAAATTTAAAAATCGAAGAGTTGGCAACTCGAAAAATCGAAAAATTGAGAAATCTAAATGGTCCAAATTGGAAAAATCAAAAAGTCAAAAATCGAGAAATTTATTTAAATAAATCGATAAATCGAAAAATCAAAAATTTCAAAAATCGGAAAATTGAAAAACAGAAAAATCTTAAACTGAGAACTCGAAAAATCTAAAGATTGAGAAAACGAAACATCAAAACACTGAAAAATCTAAAATATAAAAACCGAAAAATTAAAAAATCGAAAAGTTGAAAAACCCCAAAATTGAAATCTCGAAATATTGAAAAATCGAGAAATCGAAAAGTCGAGCAGAACATTTGCAAGATTCCAAACGCTCGATTTAGAAATTTTAAAGTTGAATTGTAAAATACTGTAAAACAATTTTGAATTTTTTCTAAAAATTTGCCTAAAGTAAAAATTCAGATTTATAAACCACAAAAGCAGGAGTATATTATCTTATAAAATTTATATAACATTTACTATTGTAAAATTTGAAAATGTCGTCATTCCATTGTTGGCGGGATGAGCAGACAAATTTTGGTTAGCGCGTTACCATCTAACATATTCCCACCATTATACAAAATTTGACAACAATCGGTCCATTAGTTTCCGAGATTATCTGTCTAATTCTAATAAAAATCCGGATAGAAGACAACGGGAGACCTATTTTTCGTACTCTTGGGGTTATGACACATCGAGAAATTAAGAATTTGGCCAGTCGCCCGATGGACTTGATTACAATGTTTCTTTACTTTGCGCTCGACAAATAAAAAAGTTTACTCGTAGTTTGCATTGTTGTGCTAAAAACAAATCGGTTTAGAAAGACTGAACAATGGTTAAGAAAAAAGAAAATCTATCAGTTAATTAAAATTCAATTAGATAAGTGGAGGAACGGAAGATTTACAGGGAATGGAAAGGAGACAAGAAATTAAACAACTAATGGACGGACTGTGTTAACTCCCTCGTAAGACCGAACAGCACAGATCAAAAACACGACACAAAAGAATCTTTGTTGTTCAAAAAAAAATCTTTAGTTGCACTTATTTACACTATTTTTTTTTTATGGAAAACAATGAGTTACGAGTATAAAATTGGTAATTTTGTAACAATTTTCATTTCCGATAATAAATTTGGACTTTGAGACATCTTTAATTTCTAATTTTGCAACTTGTAAAATCTATAGCATGTATTCCTACGTAAGCAAAAGTTCGGAATTTTTTTTTCTATCTCAAACTCTGTTACTTTAAATTAGTTAACTTTAAAATTTAGTTTAATTTGTATAGAGTACCCATAGGATTTTTTTTCCTCTACTCTGTAGTTTCTCTGTTAAATAAATAAATAAATAAATAAATAAATAAATAAATAAATAAATAAATAAATAAATAAATAAATAAATAAATAAATAAAAAAATGTTTGAAACTTCACCGATTTTTTAGATATTCGCTACAATTTCGTATATTTTAGAAATATGGTATTTGATTTCTAAAAATATCTTTCTAGAATATTGTCTTTTACGTATCGAGAAACCTGGTTTCTCTAATTTTTAAGTGTCGTGTAAAAATTTAATTCTTTCGACTATTTCTTTTATCTCTTATTTTCTCGTTTTTGTTATGTTTATTTAATTTTGTTAGTACTGAGAATATTAACTTAATTTAGGGTTTGAAATTTAATTTTGTACAACACATTTGCTTCTTTTAAGATTTTGGGACTTCTAAGACTTTTTTTCTAACATTTTTTAGGCGTAATATTACCGTTGACTTTTGATTCAAACTAACTAAGAGAGTGTGTAAGAGTTGCCATTTTACTGCGTGATTTCGAA